CCCTGATGATTCTGTAATTCTGTGATTCTGTGAAAAACGAGCAGGTCTTTAGGAGAACTCTACACTATTCATCCCACACTGTATATGGCTGCTGATATTGGAGCCAGATACTGAGCTGGTAAGTGTTCACAGTCAATGCTAATATTTTAAAAGTGTTTAATCTGATTGCAGTTCTGTGGATTGAAGTCTTCATCTCTTTCTATCCCTTTAATCTGTCTTGGTTTTTGCAATGTATTTTAAAGCTGTGATCCAAAATGTATTACCAGTCAATGCTGAAGGAACATTAATTTTAGCTCATAACAGAAAATTCAAAGACAACAAAACCATTATTCTTTTTTTTTCTTTGTCACTTTATTCTCTTCACTTTGTTAAGATTTTTTTCAAACTACAGTTGATTTTTTTTTAACTCCCATTTTTTGTGCTCAGCTGTGATGAGATATACAATGTTAGGGAAGTAAGTAGTCAACCATATTGATACATTTATATAATGGGATCATTTGTCATTATTTGTTTGTGAGTCAATGGGACATATCATGCGTTATTACTTGTTCAATACCGGGAATGCAGAAAAGCAGAATGATGAATGACATAGAACTGACAGAGAGACACAGGACAAGATCAAGGACAAAAAGTTGATAAAAGACTTCAGTACTTTGTCAGAGCAATGTGTATTTTAGTCACAGTGTTAATTTGGAGTGTGTGAGGAAGGCTCATAATCAAAGATGTTGGGACACATCTCAGTTCTTTACCACTTCAGACTGCGTACTGCAAGAGTAGAAATCAGTTTAGATGATGTCCAAACTGGAAAACAACACAATGAGGTTAGCTGTGCCCTCTGCTAATTAAACCCACCTCAAACATTTTACAAATACTGTTTAGAAGGACAGAGTTTCAAGGAAAAGATTATTAAATCTTGGCTCCATAGCTGCATAATGAAAAGGTAGAGAGTAATTCGTTTCACACAATTTTGCCAAACACTGTATTTTTCATACTGGGTTATTACTCTTTTTTTTTTCAATTTCTAAATTAAAAATATGCACAAGTATGGCAAACTAATCTGCATTAAAATCGAACTAATGAAGGTCATGGCATGAAATGAATCTCAAACACTGATGCACACTTACTGTTGACCTTTCACTTTTTTATGTGATTGGATAAAGATCTCTTGACAAACAATACTTGATGTAGAGAAGAAACATAATTTAAAATGTGGTTTAAAATCTATAAGTGGAAATTCAGAGACAGATAAAATATGGAATAGCTGTCAAGCTAGATAGATTGAGTTAGCCAGAAATATAAGCTTTTGACTCAGTACTAATTAACATTTCTAATGGCATTTTGCTGTCCAGAGAGAAGCATAGGGAGGACTATTTGCAAACACCTCCTGCATGTGCCTACCTGCTAAGGATAGGGTAGTTAGTTAGACACTGTATCTGACTTCTAGTAGGTGTGAGAAACTTCTTCAGTACAGTGGAGAAAACTGGGAATAAGTAAAAAACCAAAATAGTGTATAATGGTTTCCTTTAGAAGTGCCCATGGGACTCCTATTGCCTTAAAAAGTGTTATTCCCCTTAAGGACTACATGCCTGATGGACATATAGCTCCATATGGTGCTCATGCACCATTTCTCTTTGGATCCAAACACCATGTATGCACAGGGAATGACCAGGGCAGGGATATGGCAGCTGGTCAACAAGTGCAGGTAACTTTGCAAGTCAACAGTAAATAAACAGTCCAAACAGAGAATTTGAAATTTCCTACATGTTTTTGTGTCTGAATTGCTTCTCTGTTGGAATGTGCCCTGCTTCCTGCTGGCCTCCTGATAAGCTATTGTTATATAAGTCTTTGTTTTCCCAGATAGTAAGTTTAGCCCACTGTTAGTGATGAACTGGATTTTTACTGGATTACTCTTATTTTTACTTGGGTAATTATATCACTGACTTGTGTTACTGTGTTATCCTTGAACAAGTTGTTAATCACAAAACCTATTGGATGGTGCTGTCCATTGCCACCTATGGAACCTAAGGAAGGCAGAGATGTCTTAATGCTGATAAATTATGGAATGTACTTCATTGTCCCAACAAAATGCACAGTTAAAACTGGATGAAAATATTATAAAGAGCTGAGAAGAGATGCTCAAGTAGTCAAAGAAGGACAGTACTCAGGAAAATTGATTCTTGTCAGATGTTTTGAGAATGGCTGTGCTCAGATATCCAGGAGCAAAGAATGTTTAGTTTGCTGTGTTCTGATCTGGAGTTCAGAGATCTGTATTCTGTTCTTCCATACTGTCCAGACTGTGCTCAATTTTGTGCAAATTATTTAGTTTCCAAGTGTCCTGGGGTTACTAGTCTTTAAAATCAGGAAAAAAAGTGCTTCCTAGATTTCACAGAGAAAGAGTTCAGACTTTCACAACATTTTAGCTTTCATGGCAATGAAGACGAGGGACAAAGAACATGCAGAATGAGAAGGGGAGTCAAGATACAGAGCAGAAAGACTTCAGCCCACCTGTCTTTAGAAGTCTGAAATACTTTACTCTGACTTACAACCCAATGCTACCTTTTTACTTGGTGGGGTGAAATAAGAATTTTAGAATACTCTTCACTTGTCCTGTATAAGGAAGGTGTTTTATATGAAAACATCTCCTAAATTTGTTTGGTTTTTCTACTGACGTAAAGTGCAACATTAGGTGGTCAGCTGCTCCACAGACATCTCTGCTTCAGAACATAGAATCATAGAATTATAGAATGCTTTGACTTGGAAGGGACCTTAAAGGTCATTCTGTTCCAACCTCCTGCCATGGGCAGGGGCACCTTCCACTACACCAGGTTACTCAGAGCCCCATCCAGCCTGAGGAATCTGTAGCCTCTCTGGTCAACCTTTGACATCTGGTCAAAGGTTGCAGGGCCTTATCAACTTCACAGTAAAAAATTTCTTCCCAATATCTAATGTAAACTAACCCACTTCAGCTTAAGGCCATTCCCTTTTGTCCTTACAGGCCCTTGTGAAAAGTCCCTCTAAGCCCTCTTTATGTACTGGAAGGCTGCTACAAGGTCTCCCCAGAGCTGTCTCTTAGACTCTCCCATGTCTTCATAGGAGAGGTGTGACAGTCGTGTGATCAACTAAGTGGCCTCTGCTGGACTTGTTCCAACAGGTCTGTGACTTTCTTGCATTGGAGGCCCTTTGTCAATCTTTAATCCAGCTTTATGTGTAGCACTGGAGGGAGCAAGTAGAAAGGCAAGAAAATAACTGCACACTTAGAATGCTCCAAAGAGCCCTCTGAGACAATGCCATATCTCATCCTGGGCATAAAGAGTCATTCCCTGTTGGGAATAACTTGTCAGGAATAAACTCTTCTGTGATCTCTGCCAGCTAACCAAATTACCTGGTTCTGTGAAGGTCCATGAGAATTTTTTTTTCCTCATTATAAATTGAAGCAGGAGAAGAAAATAAATATAAAGGATTCCTTTTTTTTAAAATCTTCTTGTCTCTTAAATATTTTGTGGTTTATTAAATAAATGTAAAGACACAAACAAAAAGGGGAAAAAAGAAAGAAAAAAAGGAAAAATACTTTGCATCAAAGGATCTGTCTGTGTGTCATGTTTTCCTGAATTAACAAAAATCAGTCATGTTCAAGTTATCTAAGGCAGAATGGGAGGATTTAAACTAACATTATTTAAACATGGAGGAGTTGCATTTTGCCTCCAATGTAGTCCAATGACTCACAGAGGTCTGAGGCTTGAGGTTGTGTTCAGTCAGACTCATTTCCGGTGTCCTTCTAATTAGGACAAAACCACCATTTCATATGGAAATTTCCTGGCTCCCATTTAAGATCAAGAGCAAGGCATAATGTGCCACATGTGTGGAGTAGTGCTTAATAAATGGGACAGTACACTCTGTACTGCTGCAAACTCCCAAGCCTGTGCTAGAAAAGGTTTGCCATGCCCGTGTCTGCACCTTTTCTCAGATGGAGGTACCAAGGCAATGTCTGCCACATCAGTGCCAATATGGCAGGTTTCCCAGGCTGCAAATTTAGAAGCAGATTCCACACTCTAGAGGCGGTGATGACATTTTCACAATTACATGTTATTATTTCTCCCACCCTGTAAGCATTTAGGTGCTTAGAAGTACTTAAGCTAATATAGATTTACTTGAGGAGTATTATAAATCTTTACCATCATTTCCCCATCTTGTTTGTATTCCTTCCTCTCCCAACCCCTCATACTGCCTTCATTAATAAAGCTGTATCCAGTCACGTTTGGTGCCCAGGCTGAAGGTAACTGCTCGAATCTTTTAAATCTAGTCCCATATCCAGTATTTCAGGATTAAGCTGTCATTCCTCTTTCTCCTGTTTTCACCGGACCATATTGTCAATACAAACATTATGTGATCTCTGAGCATCAGCTCCAGGAGCTGGCTACAGCACTCTGGCTACTGAGTGCCAGCCCTAGGGGCCATGTGGGTACTTAGCACCAGCACTCTATTTTCTGTACAGACATGTAGAAACTTGATTTTATTTGTAATTCATGTATTGTATTCATTGTGTTGCAAATACATACTTCTATGATGCTTCTCTTTCTTATTTCCTCTACTTGTGAAGAATTATTATTCTATAACCTTGTACTCACTTTCACTCAAATGCCTGTCAGAGATGGCATTTCTTTTAACAGGAAAATTTCTTTCTGTATGTTCTTTTGCCTGAGTCTTGAGGAAATATTAGTGTACTTTTATTTGTAGCAATGTTACCTAGAATCCAGGAGATGGCAGTAGTTGTCAATGATTCATTTTTAAAATATGCCTATTTACAAAAGCTGAAAAATAAAGATATTTGTCCTCAGAGGAAAGCCAAACTATATATGCATGAGTGTAAACTACTACAAAATACCAGATTATTAGTTTTATTTATGAGCTTTTAAGTTCTAAACCAGACTAGGAAATAGAACTTGTAAATACATATGTTGAACATTTTGCTCTAACACTGAATTTATTCTTTCTTAATCCAGCTATAAATATTACTCAACCAAGTTTCAGTGGCACAGATGTCTTTGGCTATACCTCATTCCTAGCTTATTCTACAATCCCAAATATCACCTTCTACTATGAATTTCGCTTGAAATTTCAGTTGGCAAACCACCACTCTGCTTTACAAGATAACCTGATTTTTTTCACTGGACAGAAGGGCCAAGGTAAGCTTTATCTGTATCACTTATCCTTACAAGCTTTCAAATACTTATTGAACAAGTAGGATAAAAATATGCACAGGTCTTTCCTGATTCTATTTAAGATATAATGTCATTAATGAGAAAATAAGCTCTTCAAAACTGTATTGTTTTGTAAAGACAGAGTAATCAGTCAGGTTGTATAAATGTTTCTATTTATTAAGGAAAAATATAATTGCTTCCAGTAACTGAAGTCAACAGTTAATCTGAGGCTGTATATTTCTGAACACAATAAATGGAAACTAGAAGGTCAAGGTTCCCTTTTTTCAGTTTTTAACGTCAATTTCATTATGGATCATTGAACTCTGTATTATTTACATAAAGTAGGAGACCCTCAGCCCTGAGATCTCCCAATGAAAACTAACCCAAGCTAGCTACAAGTAAGTTGAGCTACAGTCTGTGTAGCAAAGCTTTCAACTTGGTCTGATTAACACAGCTAAGAAGCAGGTTATGTGGATCTACTTAGAGCATTTGTACTAAGATTTTAACAATACTTAAGGTATTTCTCCACAGCACCCCTCTGTGGCAGGCTGTCTGGCATCACCATGGCATGGGTAATACTACTTGTGTTCTGTCCATCTCAGCATTACTCCAAACAGAAGCCATAATACTAATTACTAAGTTGAGAAAAAATTTATATAATTTGATGCAGACATAAAGAAGTCATAGATACTTCATAGAAGTATCTATGTATGTCTATGTAATACGTTATAAATAAGATATTTATATCTAATAAAAATTATTTTTCTCTTAATTGATTCTGCAATTGGAGCATGATCTAACTTTTGGGCTTGGAGCTGTCCTATGGGATTGTTGAAGGCTAGGAGGGAGGTTGGGTGATGTGTCTAAACACAGCACAATAGGAGAGTGATTTAGGTACGCTAATACAAGTCTCTACTACTGCAGTAGATGTTTTACCATATCTGAAACATCACATGAGTTTTGCAGAATGGCCCTTGACCTATAGGAACCCTATACTTATGCTGAACAGTATCAGAAAGGGAATGCTTCAGAAGGATGAAGGAGGGGGAAAATTACTATTTGCTGTTTTAAGATACTGAGCTCCCAAAATACATTATTAAAAATCAACTTTGGGGAGGCATTATGCAATTACATATACATCTAACAGAACAATTGCAGTATATCACATCAGTAGAATGTAGGGGATTCCTCATTTACTATGTTAATACATTTGATATTTTCTTTCTAATAGAAAGGTCTTCCTTTCTATTAAATTTCTTTACTTAAATTTCTATACCCTCTGAGGCTTCTTCCCCTTTCTCCTGGTGGCAGACTTCCCAGGAGTCAGACTGTTAGTGTATTGCAATGCAAACTAAAACATTAGTGTAGAACAACTCAGCAGTTTATCTATGATATAATTAAGTCTGCTACTTTTCATTTGCAAAGATCCTGTCAAATTTGGCTCGTGCAGCTCAGCTGATAAACTCCACTTTAGTGTGCCGTGAGACCTTAGTACTTAATTTATTGGCTTGATTACCCAAATTAGCCTAACACAAATTGGTATTAACCACTCTGAATAGATTTAAACTCAAAACTTAGCTCTGCTTCTATCTGTGTGGAAATCAGAATTTGCTAAGTTTTTCCCAAACTTCAGCAAGACATGGTCAAACCTGGTTGATCCTGCTAACTGAACTACATTCACATTATTTTAACTACATCCAGGTAGAACTCTCATCATGCCACATTTTATTCTTGTGAATAAAATTTTTAAATTACCATTCACTTGCAGGTAGCTTTTCCTTTCACTCACTAATTATTAATTTCTGTGGATGGACAAAAATTGTCTTTCTTTGCTGGGTAGCTGAGCAGAAATGGTGCACAGAGTTGAAATTACCTAAAACCTTTCCATCTAATCATTCAGAAAACAGCATTCAAAAGACAAAGTCTGCATTATTTAAATTTTATAAGAAGCTCCATTGTAATATGAACACAAAGAAATCATTAGAACATTCTTTTTAACAACAAGAATGAACCACTACATTCAGACATGTTTCTACAGCCTTGGGAACTGAGTTTCAAACACCTGTTTGAAACATTTCCAATTTTAGAAAATGTAACCAAACAAAAATTATACCAATTAAATCACTGTCTTTATTCAGGATGGAGAAAATGCAAATATGAAATGTAAAACACCAATGGTATGAAATAATCTGATTCTTTTTCAGTTAAAATAATCAAAAGAGAACACCAAAAAAATTTGCTTAAATATAGAAGATACATAGAACTAAAATTTCTCTCGAAAAGGCCTGCCTGCAGGGTGTACCCTGTACTGTTAGAAGTCATTGTAGAATGTAAGTCTTGGAATTGTATCTGGCTGAACTGAGTTTTGAAATAAAGTCTTACTGGTGTAATTTTTTATTAATGAGAATACTAGCATTCTGGGCAGTTGCCAGACAGAAACCTGGCTTTTTATTACTTTGCATATCATTTGTGAGTGTGTGTGAACACTGTGGTACAGCAGTCAGGCATTTCTGCATCCCTATGTCAAAACCTGTGTGGGCAGCAGCGCCAAGGGCAAGACTCGACAAACAGAACAGTGAGGTGATGGCAAAATCTGTTGGCAGTTTGCAATTTTCTCCTTTGTTTAAATGGTTGGGGAGACTGAGCACCCCACATTTCAACTACCAGAAAGCAGTTTCTTGCCAAGTGAATGTCACTTCACATAGATGCTCTTGTTTTAACAATTTACTGAGCATTGAACAATAGCGCTCTCAGCAGGAGAAGTGTGAGGGTTTTCACTGCCAGTGATCTTCCAGTAAAGATTTTTTAATACTTAATTTGCATTTCCCCTTTCTCCATTTCATCCCATTTCTTGTAGTTAACATTCTCTTGCAGGACCCCACCTGATTCCTGTCCAATGCTGTGTCTGCCCAAACCACAGCCATCAATTTCATAGCTAACCTCTTGTGAGTTATTATGAAATTCTGTCCCAATACATAGATAAAGTTAAAAGCTGTCTCATTTATTCAGACTATTAACATGATTTTATTCTGCCCCAGTCCTGACAGAGTCCAAGGCTAGGTTGGATAAGACCTTGAGTTTGATCTAGTCGATGTCATCCCTGCCTATGGCAGTGGGTGTTGGGACTAGATAATCTCTAGGGTCCCTTCCAACCATTCAGCAATCTATGATTCTATGATTATCTTCACTATCAAGTCAATTTTGTACAGTGCTGACACTTTTGCACTTCTTTAATACACTTTAATTCTGAAAAAGCAATTTTAAAAATCAAAAACCCTTTTAAATAACAGATTGTCTTTAATGTGTTTCCCCTAGTTTTGCCAGTCAAATAACATAGGTACATTGTAGAAACTGCTGAAAATAGAAACTTTAGTAAAGGTTTTTTAAAAAGAATTGTTACTTTCAGTTTGGAGGTCCTTCACTGGTAATGTGCCAATGTAAGAGAAAGCAAGGGGATTCCATTCAGTTATGAATAAATCATTAAAAAATCATTGCAATAAAAAATGAATAGTGTTTGTGTTCTATACAACTGAATGTAGCTGCACACTTTCTACAGAGGCAGTGGATTTACATTCTTCAGAATGAGGATTAACTTTTCTTTTTCTATAGATTCCTATTGCATCAGAATAGTAACTCTATAGAAAAAGAAACTTTTGTATAGAAAAGGCACAGTACACCGCTGATTCATTTCCAGAATATGAGATAAGGGGAACATGGCATTTTTGGCCGTGAAGCAGCTGTGTGCAGAGCTTCAGTGGGAGGACAATATAAGCAGCATTGTTTCCTGGGGAAAAGCCTACTTTATCTTTTGCAAATGAATACAATTTCCCATGCATTTGAGACAGGGCCATCAAAACATACATTTGAAATGAGGGCCATCATGTGACACTGGAGGAAGAAATAGGAAGAGACCTTCCCTGAAACCAATATAAAACAAGACAGCCATATGAAAGCAGAAGAAAATATAAAATAAAATGCAGTGTACAGGCATGAAATTGAGCACTGAATTGCTTGAATTCACAGAAGAGTTGTAAAAAAGAAGTGGATGTCTTTGAATTTCAATTCAGGACATCCTAAGGCACGAGTGAGAACATTCTTCACTTTCACCATTGTTTGTATCCTGGTTCTTTTACTGTACACAAAGAAAGGTTGGGCTTGATAAAAAGAAACAGGTTGATCAGGTTTTCTCCAAACAATGGTGGTTCCTCTCTCGCCTGCATGAGAAGAGAGATTGAATGATCTTTAATGTCAGTGTAAAAATGTGTTTATTCGGATGACCAGGAATAGGCCCAGGAATTTAACTCTTACTCTTGGGCTTCATGTCAGACTTAAAATCCTTCAAATGAGATTTTACACTATAGTCACTAAAAACACAAACAACGCTTATAGCATGCAGGCCTAAATGTAAAGAAATTAAATTATTTACTGCAAACTGGCAAATCAATCAGTTCTAACCTGAAAGTTAAGAAGGCTTAATGGATTAAAGCACTTGGCTGACCAAAGAAATTCCAGAAATGAACATCCTAGAGCTGCCTTTATATTGGGGGCAGTGCAATAAAGTCTCCAGGTGCTATTGAGTCAAGGCAGCTGAAGGAGCTTGATAGAAGCTGCTAGAGCTTCTTGAGAGCCATGTCCCTGTTACTCCCCTTCCTCAGAGCAGCAGGTGCCCTCTGGTTTTATTCTGAGGCTCTTGAGATACCTATAATGAAAGCTGAAAGCATCCTGGAACAGGATTGAGTCGGGGCCTAGTCTCATATGCAACTTGAAATTTCAACGTTTTGGTTTTTTTAGATTGTAGAGGAAATTGAAAATTTATTCATGTTCCAGGGGGAAGGAACAGCAATGACTGCTAAATCCATCAAGACTGACAGGTTTTGTGGATATCACTCATTTAACTACAGAATGAAAAAATCTTCCATCATAAATCCTATAGATCTTAAAAATCTCTGTAGTTTCTATTTTAAATCCACAAGAATACTGGAAATAATCTTACAAGTTAAACAGAGAATATTAGAAATATACAGTAAACTCATAAGCTTCCTGGCTAAAATTTTGCTAAACTGCTAATTTCTCAGTGGATTTGGAGTATATTTTCCACATTGGTGTTCACTAAATCCTGGGATATGTAGTTATCCTTTTTTGCTCTTTCCAGGTCTGAATGGAGATGATTTCTTGGAGTTAGGCCTCCGTAATGGGAGAGTGGTATATAGCTACAATCTAGGTTCTGGCACAGCAACAATCATTAGCAAGCCACTTGATCTGACACTCAGTGTTCATGTCATCCATCTTGGCAGAAATCTCCAGAAAGGCTGGCTGAAGGTAAAAAAATGTAATTCTGATAGAAGGATAGCTTTTAGATTAAAGTGTTTTCTGTGTTTTTCTACATTTTACATGGGAAATTTAATATTTTTTTGTATTTCCCTATAAAGCTGGGAAGATTTTCTTCACTAGGAGTTCCTAAATAAAGGCAAATCTCTTTGTTGTAACAAGTATTAATGTTTCATTGAAAGGTAGATGATCAGAAGAATAAAACTGTCACTTCTCCTGGGAGACTGGTTGGACTCAATGTCTTCAGTCAGTTTTATTTAGGAGGCTATCGTGAGTATACTCCAGAACTCCTACCAAAGGGACCCAGATTCAAGAATGGCTTTCAAGGTAAAGATCACACCATTTTCAATTCCTTGTAATACATACATCATATTGTATTTCTTTCATAGGCAACTGAAACAACCTCTGTCTTATCAGGAAAAAACCCCCACCATCTCCTGGCTGAAATTCCTGTGGCTTTTTCATTACTTCACTATGATTACTAAGAAACATGATGCAAAAAGATGTTTTGCTAAATAATTTTAATGTTTTCTCTTTCTGCTAAGATGGAAGTTTGCCATTGGAATGTTTGTCATGTAATCTCTTCTTATGTGTCCGTGTTCTACAGTATCATTTCAAAAGGACTCCCTTTCTCTGAAGTAATTTATATCCTTCTCCCACTGTGACTGGCAGTGCTAGTTTGGGTAATAGCTTTCATGCTGAGAACTTCTTTCTGAAAGAAATTTGATTTTTTTTTTTTTCCCTGTTATTATCATCTAGGTCTCGAGACAGGATTTAGCTAATTCCTTTTGCAAATATTTATCTAGCAGATAGTAATTTTTTCTTCAAAACTGATACTGAAACTATTAATCTGTTTTTAACTACTACCAGATCAACAATGAAGCAAAGGACTTGTTCATAGTACTTAATTTTTGTTTTTTAGTCTGAAGAAACAATGTTGTTGATATTTGAAAGGTAAAATTTCAATTCATTTTAAGAACTGGAAAGCCTTTCAAATGAAAAGAAAACATTTTGTAATAGTAAAATACAGTTTGAGTTCTCAATTATGAAATTGAGGTATGTTATGAAATGCAGGCATAGCAGTAAAACTCACTTTCATACACTAAAACATTGCATTTCCATTAAGACCATGTAACTGCTTTATTTCCAGCCATTACCTCACTTTTTGTTCTTACACTGAAATTTCCTCAAATTCAATTTCATATTGTATAGTCAACTTCTCACTCAGAATGTCTCTCATCTCACTCAGAATGTCTCACTCCTCTGTCTGTCTTTTCAGGAAGTATGGATTGTATAGTTATAGCTTTCATAGCCTCTTAGCATCTTGCAAATTGGCATATCATAAAACATAATGGCTGTGAGACTTTTTTAATAGGGTCAATATCTGTGAAGTAGTTTTGGCTTTTTTTCTAGATATGCTAATGTTAAGGATGACCAACAGCAATCTCCAGTGCTTTACTTTAAACACAAATATTTTTAATTTTCCAGGTTCCTTATGTTCCAAATGTATTGTAATGACCAAATTTCTACAAATCCACTATGAATAATCTTTTAAAACCCACAAAATTAACGCACTGTTAGTTACCATACTTTTTACTGATTTTTCACACTCTTTAAAAATAAGTATTTATGAAAAATTTTGGGAAATATAAACATAAATATATAAACACATAAACATTTTTCTCTTTGTCCCTATCATTTACAGTTTTAAGTCTATTTTATTTTCTAATTAATTCCATGCTCCTGTTACCAGCAGCAGCTTGTCTCTGCTCTCCAGAGTATAGTGATTTTCAAGGAATCTACACTTTTATATGACAAATTTCCTCCAATGTTTTCTTACATAATCAGCATCTGATTTGTTCTTCTAGCTCAGAAATCTCCCCAGTTTCAGTTCTCAGGATCTCCAGAATCAGAAATAAACCTCCATAGATTTTTCCAGAGTGGGAACTGCAATACCACTAACAGAGAAGAAAATTTTGTACTATTTTACTTCAGCCAATCTGCAGCTGTAGGGATCTCACAGAAACTCTGAAAGTGACAGCCAAGATAAATTTATCTAGGACATAGCTGATTAAACCACTCAGACTTTTGGAACCCTGCTGTTGGCTCCTTTTAAAGACATGATTTATTAAAACAATTTTGCTTCTAATACCAGAGTGTATTTTGTAAGAAATCACTACTAGATGAAGAAACATTGAGACCAGCCTTACTGCTGCAGACTAAATGTCCCCAGTGTCAGTGTGCAATAATTTAGGATTTTTACTCTTTACAAGTACAGTTTCACACCATTTCTTCCCTGACCTGCCTGCCTTTAGCACTTGTTCATGTAATTTCCACAGAGGAGGAGGAAACTGAAAACAAATGTTTTTAATAAATTGTCATTTAATAATCAACAGTTGTGGAATTTTTAATTTAGGAAATGTGTGAATAGAGACTATTTTGAAAGGCTGAAGGATGTTTGATGGTACTGTAAGAAATATTCATTCATCCTTATGAGAAGCTGAAGAAACTGGTAAAGGTAGAGCTCAGATGAAGCAGTCAAGTTTATGTGGACTTTGAGGCTCTTTGCACTTCATCTGAATTTGAGGTTCCTCAGGGGCTTACAGGAACTTTTTGTAAATGGGATGGTTTACTTAAATGTTCAGCTTTTTTTTATTTCCTATAACAGTGTAATTAAGGGACCTTGAGAGTTTTCTGAGCATACTGCAGATGCTCTAAAAAGTCTAATGTGAGGTTTAGGTAGCTGAAAGTCTTGTGGCCAAAAAGACTCAGCCTGGCCATTAATGGACAATCTGAAATGGGAGTATAAAACCAACTGACTCATGTTCAAAGGTCTGTACAACTCAGCACTATGACTCACCTACACAAAATGAGACAGAGAATTATTTGGAAAAATTATTTGGAAAAAGCTGGAAGTTACAGCTGAATTTCCAGCCCTTCCATCTCTAAAAGAGGCAGAGAGAAATCTGGTGTCAGGGACAAAAGAGGGAGAGTTCTGATGTTTCATGCTCTGTACTACCATGACTGCAGGATGCAGCCTCTAGCCATCAATACAATTGATGGAGAGCCAGGGCTTATATCTAGAAATAAGTGAGGAGCAGAGAAAGAGGAACAACTGATTGCTCCTGTGGTACTGTTCCTAAGCAGGATGAAGCATGGTTTTAGAAGTAATCTGTTAGTTGACAGCAAATACTATTAGAAGGAGGAGTAAACAGGCTAAAGAAACTGACCACAAGGCTGAACTGTTGCAGAACCTCTTTCATGCTGAAAGAGCCACCTCTTCGCATAAATTATTTTGCAAAGTAAATAAAATTGCAGGTACTGAAGTCACTTTTTAAAAATAGAGTAAACCCAGAACACAATTGAGTTCCAAACAGATACAAATACAGCCTTTCAGTCAAAGTTTAAGCTCATAATAAGCTGGAGTACATTACAAGCCTGCCAGGGTTACAACTACTAATCATTATGTTTCTGCACCACTGATGTCACAGAAGGAAAGTGAGTTCTGAACTAGCTTTTAGTCAGGGCTGTAGGATTCATACAGGCCCTCTTGGTGTTTGGGCCACAGCTTCAAGAAGTCCTGAGAAGTCACTGTCAGGGCCATCTTTTAGACCAACACCCCAACACCCCATTACTCACAGACTGCAAAGAAAAACAGGGGAAAAACAAAGCATTTAAGGATAGGTAGGATTTAAGAAATCTGTAAATTCAGTACTGCATTCAGATAGAAAATATTTTATCAGTGTATCTATTTCTGTCAGTTCTCTTGATGCATTTTTAGTACATCTTGAAAATGCCTGCTTTGTGTACTTTTTAGTCAAATTAGCACCATGTGCTTACAAGTGGGTAAGGGATCCTAGCAAAAAATTATGGGAAAAAAAATCTTTGTGTGAAAAGGATATATTAGAAAAAAATAAAAAAAAGTAAAGCTGAGCAGTGAAGTCATATATTTTATGATAATCCCTCAAATTTAGTTAATTTATTGTTAGTGGCTTTTTAGTGATTTATGAACTCTGCTTGACTGGGGTGAAAGTTATAACATAAACTGATGGTAAAAAAGGTCAGTATTAGAAAGGCCTAGGTGTGGTCTAAGAAGTCACAATTCAAAAGATTGCAAACAAAAAGGTAGTATACCATCTGTGACTGTAGAGTCTTGGTATCTGATTTCAGTTTACTTGCATAAAACACTGACGTCAGAATCACGCCAAGTTTAACTCACAAAGTCAGGAACTTCGAGTTCCTCTTGCAAACTTGGCTGTGTCAGGAAACCTCTCCATTATTCAGAATAGTTGGCAGTCTCTCATTAAAAGGGGCCCAGAACTGGCAGAGCGAAGGAAATTCGGGTCAGAAAGAAGGCACATTCATCAGCTGATCCTTCTGCAGAAGGCTGTACACTGCTTGCAACAACAGGCTCAAATTGCTGCTCTGACTCATTAAATAAAAGGTCCAGTTGAACTTAGAGAGCTTGGCCAAAACACTCTTGTACCTATTACATGCTTTGTTTACCAGTGCCCAAGAACTGTTCCTAACCTAGATGGCACAGTTGAACTGTGGCTGCTACACTTAAACTGGTCATCACCACAAATGCCTGCTTATTTTCCATGATGACCTCAAAGTCCTTGGGGACTCACTGTGCTTTCCATTGTTTACGCAGAGCCCTGGGCTGCTTTTTCTTAGCACTCCAGCAAGACCCAGGAGAACAGAACATGCTTTATCTGCCACTGGTAAAGAGACAAAACATTAGTTAGGGTTTACCAAGCATAAGGTGGCCTAAAAAACCCAACCCTGTAAAAAGCAAAGAAGCAATAATACAAAGATTGTAAATAATCATCAAACTAGGTTATTTTTAAATTACTTATTGTGATTTTCTGAATTAACAGGTATGTGTTGATGTGTAACAGGTATGCTCCAAAATGTGTGATATATGGAAATAGCTGAACAAAACAACCTTCAATAACACCATGAAACTGCAGTTAAAATAAGTTATCTTGCTGTAGATATTACTTTAATTTGGTCAAAAAAAAATATATAACTATAAAAAGATCACATTGTATATTCATTGGGTCTTTCAGATGCAAGTCTTCTACTTTTGTGATTTCAGTGAATCATGCAAAAACTCATATTAAGTGATACTTTTAAAATCAGTGTAATCATTATGTGCAATCTCCATGTAATATCCTCTCCCTGCTTCTAATATTAATCAGAGAGCCTCTGGTATGCGCTGCTGAATACCAATTCTTCTTGTGATTTCAGGCACTGTGGGAATTAACTACATCTCAGCTAAATTTTATAAATCAGGTTTAGAAAGGTCTGAGCATTTTCAAATACATTTATGTACTACCTTAACTAACGTGGTTTAAAACCTGAATTTTAGTTTTAAATTGTATATATATTTATGTATAGGTCTGGATGACATATCAAAAATGCTTAAGGCTACCTTTAAATGTGACTATACATCACTTGGATGCTGGGGTATAATTTGAAAAGTCACTTTTGGATTTGATCAAAAAAAAAATATATTATATGTCATCATCTTCTGTTTTGCTGTATAGAGATAAGCACATGGATCCATAAACATGGTCCAGAAGTACTGGTGACTTCAGCCTGACCCATAAGGCTGACCATCCTGTGACACCACCAGGAAGAGCAAAGACTCTCCAAAGGGACAGTCCCCAGAAAGTTCACAGGATAAGCAGGAGCTGCTGGGAAGTAGCAAGTAGGGAACACCTCTGCTTCACTCTGAAGCTTAGCTCCTCCTTCACTTGGGATACCAGTGTATTATGAAATTAAAGAAAATCAGAGCATAGATCAACGCACTGATACTTGATCATCTTTACAAATAAATTATTACAATATTCCCAGAAGTGTTTACCTTATTAGTATATGTTAATTCTTAAAATTATTTTCTGAGATTAAGGGCCTGAAGGATCAATCTACATTGACCTAAAATGTCAAGTGTGACATGATCTGCATGTACCAAGGACTGAAGCATTCACTTGAGAAGGAAAAAATTTGAGTCACTACCTGGAGGGCTCCTTTTCAGCCTAAGGAAATTCAAGTCCACACTTCTTGCTTGAATTATATTATTTGGTGTCTTCTGTATTCTATTATATTTTATATTAAGCAGATTTCTTGTTGTCTTTTCTTCTCCTTTTTATTCTATTATATTTTATATTAAGCAGATTTCTTGTTGTCTTTTCTTCTCCTTTTTCCTTGAGTTTCAGGGCTTTATTTGGTTGGTTGGTTGGTTGGTTGATTTTTTGGTGTTTTATATTTTTGGAGGGACTTGTGACTGTTTTTATCTGATACATTGATGCATTCCTGTAGAAGCATGAGTTGTAAACACAAAATTTTACCTAGTCACTGACTTTATATTCTGTCTATTCCTTAAGAAATTATTTCTTTTGTTTTACCCACCATTAAACTGAGGGCTTCTGATCTTCTACTCATTTGTCTGAACAGAAAGTAGCTGGCCTACGTTCTTCTCCTGTAGATGGTATGGTTGCCCATTCACTGAAGATAATCTGGAGGAACCCACTCAATGAGGGGTTTTTTGTTGTTTGGTTTGTTTTGACTTTTGCTATCTGTTTTAATTTCTTTCTTTGTTTCTTTCTACTTTTTAGGTTGCATTTTTGATGTTCAAGTTCGCACCAGCCTTAATCAAGGGTTTAAATCACCAGGAACTCCAGAAGGACACCCCAATTCTGGCCGCAGTGTTGGACAATGCAAAGATTCCCCATGCAGTTTAATAAAATGCAGAAATGGTGGCAAGTGCATAGAAACTGGCTCTACTGTTTAGTGAGTATATATGTGTATATATATTTTAGACACAGTATAGACTGTCTCTATAGTAATAACTATGGTAATTTATTGTGTTCATAACAGAAGGAAGCAGAAAGAAAGAGAAAGAGAGAAAGAGAGAGAGAAAGAGAGAGAGAAAGAGAGAGAGAAAGAGAAAGAAAGAAAGAGAGAAAGAAAGAAAGAGAGAAAGAAAGAAAGAAAGAGAAAGAGAGAGAAAGAGAGAGAAAGAGAGAAAGAGAGAAAGAAAGAGAGAAAGAGAGAAAGAAAGAGAGAAAGAAAGAGAGAAAGAGAGAAAGAGAGAAAGAGAAAGAGAGAAAGAAACAGAGAAAGAGAGAAAGAGAGAAAGAGAGAAAGAGAGAAAGAAAGAGAGAAAGAGAGAAAGAGAGAAAGAGAGAGAGAAAGAAAGAAAGAGAGAAAGAAAGAGAGAAAGAGAGAAAGAAAGAAAGAAAGAAAGAAAGAAAGAAAGAAAGAAAGAAAGAAAGAAAGAAAGAAAGAAAGAAAGAAAGAAAGAAAGAAAGAAAGAAAGAAAGAAAGAAAGGAAAGATCATTCCATTTGATAAATATTAAAATAATATTTGATTAATATTAAAATAATGTTAGAACCATATGTGGGGAATTTTTTTAAGAAATTCCATGGGCTGGTTCAGCTCCACTGAAGTCACTGGCATCCAGACTTACTAGGAAATGCATGGGAAGAATTAGATGTGTGACCTTTTTTTAAAACTAAAAAAAAAAACTGGTGAGCATCTAGGATAGCAGAGAAGTAATAGTAAAGAGGGTAGCTTGACAGTGTTAATGTCCAAATGTGGCTGATGGGGCCAAAATAGGTGACTTCTGTTTCCTGGGAATTAATATTTTCCATTAAAAAACCCCGTGAGGAGTAACTCAGCACTGACTGCCCAACATTAGAAAGTGCTGAGCCGGTTTGAATCCACAGTAGCTCAAAACATTGTTTGGTGTCTGTCAGTTCATCTCTAAGCTGCTCACTTGGCTGATCTATGGGATGAGAGGGGGTAGCAATGAGAATCTGCCCAAAAGATGAGTCTCAGATCTCTCAGAGTAGATGGAGCTAAGTGCCCAGGCTGTATGCACAGAAGGAGGAAGTACATTTGCAGCTCCAAATTGCTGTTGAGTGTCAACACTTCCATTGTAATAAATTCTGTTTTCAAACACTTTGTAACCCAGCTGTAAAATCTTTGCTGACAAGCATTTTTTATTTTAAAAGTATCTGCCAAGATTAATTACACTTGCTTCCCCTTATGTGCTTTTGCATGTGTTCATTTATTTCCACATATTTTCATATTTTTTTTAAAATTAGAAAAGTGCTGATTTAAAACTTAAGGTACTGACTGAAAACATTGCAGACAGCAAGACAGATTCAAATGAGAAAAAAGGCTTTGCACTGTGGAGCCTCTGTATGATGCTTCTTAAAACAACAAAAATCTGTCCTTCTGTGTGCTACAAAGAAAAACATTTGCATATTTGTTAAACTGAAAATAATCTACTCACTCTGTACCGGAGAGAGAATTATATGGTAATTAATTGGTTTTGCTGCCTGTGACACGAATCTTCACCTGTAAAAAACTTGGTACAAAAAACCTGCTTCTAAAGCTAGTAAATTGTACTGATATTTGGAAAACTGACCCCAAGATTAGCACACAGATTACTCCCCATTCCCCTTATGAATATATTTTATTCTCTTAAATAAAGTAATGAATGAAACACTTTGAAAACATAATTTAGAATTGCTTTCTGTTTGTTCCATTGCTGTATGTCACAAGTCTTGCACTTTGCAGGGCCCTCCCAGAGCTATTAAAACCTTGACATTTGATCTTTCTGAGGAGCAAGAAAGGATAATGGTCATCTTTCCTCTTATGAGCATATTAGATGTGATACAAAGCCAGAATTTCAAGACAAAAAAATCATAAATGCAGGCTGAAACATTCCATTGCCATCCACCCACCTAAATCCTTGCTTCAGCAATTTACTCAGCTGTGCTGTCACCTTCATGTCTATAAGGTGAACCACCAGCAGCAGCATCTAGAGCACATTTTGGGAAGCAGGTGGCAAGCTAGAATGGCAGCTGGTGACAGGAAAACACAGCAAGCTTGGTATTATAGGGAAAATTCTTTTTCATCATTACAATTTGTATTCCAGATTAGTTTAGGGATTATTCTAAAATTTCTGGGGCATTGGGGGAAGGGGGGGAAGGGGGTGTATAATGTGGTTTTTCTGGGGTTTGTTTGCTTGTTTGCATTTAATTTATAGTGACCTACTACTGAATTCTATTCCTGTCCCCATATTTCAGGACAGCTAGGTCTTCACACTCTAGGTATATGTGCATGCAGGTACAAGTAATGGTCACTTTTTTCTTTTTTTTTTTTAATGGTCTCATAGAAAAAGTGAAACATTGCCAAAGAAACATGGATGTAGTTTACATATAATTTCTGTCAAAGTACAGTAGCTGTCAATACTGGCTCAATATATTTTCTCAGAGGGACTTCTATTTTCAAATCATCTGTGTTCCTTTGAAGAGCACAGTCCTTGAGGGAACTGGATTTGTGTTCAAATATTTTCTCTGCTGAAATGAGATCTCTCCAGAGGTTTTGGTTGCTGTTTGGAGCTATTTTTATATCTTGCTTTCACCACTCTGCCAGAAAGTGTGCAGTGCTGTTAAGCTGTAGATTCAGTTGCTATAGGGATAATGCTTTGATTTAAATAGAAACAGAAATATGCAGCATTAATCTTTATATTCTGGCCAGCAACAGAGCACAACTGCTGTGTTTTAACAAAAAAAAAAAGGGGAATTACTTGAATAATAAAATGAAGAATATAATTTTCAAGGGACAATTATATCCCTTATTATTTTATTTATGACACAAAATAATAGAAAATAGAAAATTACATGTAACATCATTTTCCTGTGAGGTATTATGACTACTTCTTGTTGGTGAAGTAAGAAAAAGTACATCTTGTGTGCTGTTTGAACAGAACATCAGACAAAATGGAGAGGATTCAGTCTGTTAAATGTGAGCATGCAGTGTTAGTTTAGACACCCCTGGGTAGACATTTGGCCATCAGCTGCTGCTTCAGAAGAGTTTGGGACTTGTATAAGTTTTCTGTAATATCTCCAAGCCTCATGTGGATTTCTCAGTACTGTATAGCTTTCAAGGAGCAACAGCCACTCAGGTTTAGAAAATAAATCATGCCCCATATGTGTGGGGTGGCTCATAAAAGGAGCTTCTGTAGTCTCATTATTAGGCCAGATTCAATTAAAATAAATTTGCAGTGCAAGGACATAATCAATATGTAACAGAAGGACATACTTTAATACTCTGTAAGGGAAAAGACATTTAGCTGTTTAATCGTCATGGTTTAAAACAATACAAGTCTCTGTTTTGGGAGTGAATTTGCTATCTAAATTTTTTCATTTAATTTGTCTTATTTAGTAGGACTCATCTGCAGCATTCCATGGTTCTCTCTGTTTAAATTCTGATTTAAAAGCTGATTCTCTTCCTGTCTTGTTTTCTTCCCAGTCCATCTTTACCTTCCAGCCTTAAGAAGTCTGGTTTTTGTTAATGCTCTAGTTTTCCACTGCATGAATTTAAAACCACTCTTATTTAGAAATTTCCTTCCTTGCCCAGCATCTTTCTACTGCAAAACAAATTCAAAAACTGTATCCAGAAATCTCCAGTGGATTTGGCAGCTTGATGGGGCCAATACATGCCAATATGAATCTGAGATGTCCTGCACGATCTGAGATACTTACAGGATGTTGAGAAATGTTTCAGTTCCTCCTGGAGAAATGTTTGGAGGACAGACAAGACACCCTAGGGAGTTTCAGATGTTACTAAACATCTGCCTAATCCCAGATGGTCTAGCTAATTTGATAAATTAATTAAGCTTCTGATATCCATTGAGTATGTGCCCATCTTACATATAGAATCCTAAATTCAGATCTGAACACCTCCTTTTCTGGTATAAGATTGCTTGTTTGATTTGACATTACATCTGCATAACTATGGGAAATTCCATTTTTGTTAGCATTTAGAACATTGTTTTAATAACATATTTTCTATATTTAATGGAAGAAAGTTTTTTGTTTAATTTCGGATCTAAGTAATCTTTCCAATTCTTCACAAATCATTTAGGATCTTTAGTTATTTCCCTATAAAGTTCAAGAAAAGCTTCCAGTTTGATCAAGATTTTGTGTAGTAACACACAGACACACTTTTTACATATTTTATGTGTAAGATTACTTTTCATTACTTTTTTTAATGTTGCATGAATTTTGATTAAAAATTTTGGTTTTGGTTCATAATCAACAGTGAAAAATACTTGTCATCCTTGCTTATGTAGAAACTATGTTATTTGTTTCAGAGCTAATTTTGCCTTTTGTAAGGGACTTTGAACCTGAATAAACCATTCCATGAATACTGCATGACACTTTTAAGCATTTTACAAGAAGCAAAAAAGAAAAAGACATTAAATTAAAGCACTCTTGAGCTTCCTAAATGCAAATATTTCAGAACTTGTAGTGGTACTTGAATTTCCAAAATTTAAAGTGAGTTTCATTTGCTTCCTGAACTGGATGACTTTGCCCTGTACTTACTCTGAAGTGCATCCTATTAAGAATCCTTTGCAAAATAGGGTGAATCAAGATCATACAGTTTGTTTTCAGACACACTATCAAAGCTGTATTTGAAAGCCTTTCCATCCTTCCACACTTAAAAATATGCTTTAAAAAAGGAAAAAAAAAAAAAAAAAAAAGGCATTTTGGCAGTTACTCTTGAGGTACTAGTATCTCCAGTATAGGAGAATTAATATAATCTGTGTTTTTCAAAAAGTCTGAAAATAGGAAAATGTCTTGCAGCAACATTGTCTCCTAAGACACATAAACTTAGAGTGTCTCCAGGTGAGCTAAATGTGTAGGATCCTATTAGAGTAAATGGAGATACAGGCCTTTCCAGTTGTCTAAACACTGGCATTCTAATGGGACAGGTCCTGGGATACTTTTCTGGTCTCCATAGGAGCACAGAAAAGGAGCACTCCAGAGGAGCACAAGTCTTCTGCAGCTCTTCTCTCTTACCTGCTGGCTCACACATCTCTCAGACACACCATGGATCAGAAGGCAAATATCATTAGCCTGCATGGAGACAAATGAGTGCAGGACTTTATCATCAGGGTCATGCATGTGTTAGTTTGTGGGATACATAGTGCTCCAGTTCCCATGACTGTGTCCTCTGCATCACCACTGACTGATTAGTAGATGAGCTCAGGCAGTTACTCAAGGATCCCATTGCCTAAACCTGAGCATTCTGTCAGGTTTCTGTCAGAAACTTGTCTCCTTGGCCAGCAACTACCTCTCTCATATACCACTAGGGCAGCTGGAAGCCAACTGGGCACCTGATGTAACATAAAAGTAACTATCTGGATCTCAGAATGTGTCTCACCCCTTACACCTAAAGAAATACAAGATCTGGACGATGCTCTTAGTCATACAATTTACTTCTAGGTAGTTCTGCAGGGAGCAGAGAGTTGGACTCAAAGATCTCTAGGAGTTCCTTCCAACTTGAGGTATTTTGTGATTTTAAATGGGTCTTTAAATCCCTGAGAGTCAAGTCACTAGTGCAAGCTATTGCTGAAAAAACAAGCAACCAAAATCAGGAAGATACAGTGGAAACTAGTCCAGGATGGCAGGCCACATGATGGAAAATATTTGAAACACTGCCTCTTTCTTTATCTCTGTAAAGATTAGTGAATTTTGGATCTAAATTTCTCAACACCAGTCCAACTTGCTTAGGTGTGTTAAATAGGCTTCATTTGTTGCTAGACCATTACCACATGTTCAGCTCTGTGCAAACAATTTTCAATTAATTTAAAAACTTGACTTCTGTTAGGTCATCAAAGAGACAAATTAAAAGAAATTTAAACAGACATACACAGACACCAGCCAGGGAAAGGGGAAGAACCCTCACGTATGATGCCCAAGAGCAGCAGCATCAGCTCCAGCAGTACTCACAAGGAAGGGGCACTGCTGTTTGCACTCAGGGAGTTAAATCACTTCCCTTCTCAGTAGCTTTCATGCATCAAAGCATAACATTTATAGCTGAGACAGAAAGCATTCTGATGCTGACTTTGATGAATTGAGGTGCTCTCGCTTTTGCAAGGTCCTGTCCTCTTTCCCCCTTCATTCCAAACAGCTGTTTAACACTCTGAAGAGTTTGTTGTTTGTGCTTTGTTTACATGTTGTCTGATCTGAAGGTGTGGTGAAACAGCAGTTTCACAGGCTCCTCATTATGTTTTACACAAAAACAGTGGCCTTGTTAATGGAGGATTTGCAGCTCAGTCAGTGCAAAGAAAAAAATCAAGAGTTTGCACAAAACAAAAATCAGAACAAACATGGACCGATCAAAACCCAATCAAAATATATGAGTTTTCATTCTTAGCCTTGAGAGGAAAAACTTACAGGGAAAAATCCATACGTGTTTTTATTCAGGGGAATAATATTTTAATCATAAAGTGATACAAAATGCTAGAATACAAATAAATCTAATATATATATTAGTATATATTTTATATATAATAATATATTTAATTTTAACTCTTTAGTAAGGAGGGAATTTTACACATCAGTGTTAGGTGCATTCTGTATTTAATAATTTCTATAGAATTCATGTTAATTTTAAATTTATAGATTAGTGTGACTTTTTCAGTTTGTTCCTCAGCCTGGATGAAAGAAAGTCATAAAATGAAGCAGACAATAACAAGTTCGGTGATTCAGTCGGTTTAGAAAATTTACTTTTGGTATGGATTTACAATCATAGATATATGAAACCCAGACTGCCATCTCTTTAATGACCATATCCACTATCCTCTTTTCTGTCAAGTGCTTCAAGAAAGCTAAATCTGATATGCCAGTTATAAGAATTTAGAAAATTAACAATGACTAAAGGAAAGGCAGTTGCTGACAGACTCCTGTTAGTAGCTAAGATTTCTAATTGTTAGCAATTCCCTTATGCTGGTATTATTTTTATGACTTTGTTGCTGCTTACCTTTCCATTTTAATGTCTGCATTAACTTTTCCTAGTTTATGAAGCCAGGGCCTTCTGGAGTTATTTGTAGAGCAAAACAAACATGAAAAAGCTATAAGCCTTTTTCTTTTTAATACCAGATGCTAATATTTAAATGTTAATATTCAAAAGAAAATACTTCCTATTTTGTACATTTTTCTTTTACAATAAAATGAACATACCAAGAAGTTTAATGAGGAACTACTTGGTTACTACCCTTTTCTGTTAACCATTTTGGATCAGGTTTTTAAATATAGGTATCCAAACTTGAAAATCTTCATTAGATTGCTACTGACATGTTGATTTCTGTTGATAATACTGTTGCATTCTTTCCTTTCACTTACCCTCCATAGCTGTGACTGCCTCACTGGATGGAAAGGTGCATTTTGCACAGAAACTGTGTCAGTGTGTGAACCTGAGCATGATCCTCCACACCTGTGTCAGCAAGGCAGTACCTGTGTGCCACTGCCTAATGGCTACACATGCCACTGTCCTCTTGGAACAACTGGTACCTACTGTGAACAAGGTATGTCAAATGCACAGTACATTGTACACACAATTATGTGATGTAAAACTACAGCATTTTGCTATACATCAATTAAATGTGACATAGAGACACAAAGAACAAAATAGATTTGAGAAAGTGATGCTCTTTTCTGTTGGAAAAGGTAATTAAAAACAATGAATTGTTAGATATGGTTTCCTTACTCTGCCTATTTGTAATGCCATTTTTTCCTTCCATTTTTTCAAATCATCCAACCAGATTCACAAGCATGATTTGTCAGGCACCAAGGAGACAGGAAGCATTGCAGAGCAGTGTTATAGTGCTCAGTACAATTCCCAAGCTCACCATAATGAAGTATGATGGGAAATACACCTGAGATCACAGTAGTGGCACAGAAGAGGGAAGCATCTGGGACCTTATCCAATTTCTGCTGATTCTAATGGAGAGGTTCCTGTTGACTTCCCAGCCTATTGGGTAGGGATGCACTGATAACAATGACAAAAGATGCAAACATCACTGTAAAAATCCACCAGTGATTATTCTTCCTGGCTTTCTTTCAACATGTCACCCTCAAAATATGTCCTCAGTCTGCAGGTTTTGTATTTCTTACCTTCATGTAATGGAATCCTTTACCTGTTTTCTTCTCTGAGAGATTGTGCAAATGAATATTCAACAATGTGGATACACAGGTGCTACAAGCTCAGGGATTTTTCCTGCAAGTGCCCAAATTGCCTCTGTGTGTAAGGAGGTGTTGTACAGTCCACACCCTCTATTCCACAGCTCTTGGATTCATGTTAATTTTGTACAAGCTTATGTATTCCTGTTGAGAAGCTTTCTGTACAGCTTTTGGAGAACTCCACTTACTGTTAAATAGGTGCCTTTCCAAAATGCCTGTCAAGGTCCAGCCTCCCTTCTTGTGTGAGCCTGAAGCACAAAACTGACAAGCTGAACCGCATTTGACCTGATTTGCAGTGCTCACCCTATAGATGGATAGTTTTTAAATCCCATTACATGTGGAATTGGTAGGCTCAAATGAAAAAGAATATAGCTTCTGGAAAGTTACTGTTGAATTCCTTATTCTGTGCTTGCTTTATTGCCACTGCTGCAACAGCTGTTCAAGGCTCTTTATATGAACTTTCCAATCTTGAATTCTCATTTCAAGTGAGGTTTTCAAAAGTAATGCCATCTGGATTCAGGATACTGATCATCAGGACATGTGCTATACACAAAGCAGGTAATTAATCAGGTAAACACTCCTGTGTTCTGATTCCAGAATACATTTGGGTCTTCTTATCATGGCCACATTAACAATACAAAACTTATATGGGAATAAGAGAAAATTGTATTTCCTACATATTGTCTTTCTTGTAGTAATTCTTCATCTGGTAAACACATTAGAGGGTTCTTCTCTGTTTTATTTAAAAGCTTTCCTTTTATGAATAGGTACTATGGATCCTGACCAAACTCTGTGCCCTGTATTTCACCTTACTCTGTGGCAGAATAATGAATTATCATGAGATTTTTCAAAGAGCAGTTTGCACTTTTAGTGGATGGCAAATTGCTAAAAAACAGCTGCTTATCAAGATTGAATATCTCATCCCTGGATTAATGGTGGTTATTGGAGCCAAAAGAAAAAGAGACAGAGAGCAATGAACAGCCCAAGGGACTGGGAGAAAACAAAGGGTAATTAAAGGATGAAGACTAATGAATGTACCAGAAAGAAGGAAAAAATTGTGAGAAGACAGAAGAGATTTATGAGGTAAAAAAAAGCACAGAGTAGAATAACAAAGGGTAAGAACAAGCAGGGGTTTACCAGATAATAGCAACTGGTAAAGACAGTACAACAGTATGGATTGCACAGGAGCAGGTCAGGTGAAGTGAGCAAATAGGGGTAGAACCACAATAACAAACAAGAGTACCCTGAACACAATTATTAAGGGTAATTAGGCATAAATCATCAATAGACAAGCACTAATTTTTTGTCAAACACTAAAAATGTTTGAGGTTCTTTATTAACTATGTATATGAGAGATGAAAGCATGGGAGCAGATAAGGATGATGCTGTTCTTAACTGTGATGGTCCTGTGATGCTTAGAGCACCAAGCTCAAGACACCAATGATGCAAAGACTGTCAGCACAGAGATAGGGTGCATTATAGTTAAGCTTTAGATGTCAGAGCTCCACTAGCAAACTTTCAGTGGTTGGAAAACTAAGTTAGAACAAGACTAAACACAGGGAGAGAAAGAATATAGTTTTCATAGCACTTATGGTCTGAGACTCACAGGGTTTATTTGATTATCTCACAATGACCATTGCCAATATGTAAATTGAGCAATATTCTCAGGAGGTTGCAGAAAGTTGTGTGTTATTTCAAGTGTTTTAGAGGAAATAGAAGAAATCAACCCACTTGACAAAGAGAGGGTAGCAGTTCAAATTTCTCTGTGTTTCCTATAGGCTGTGCACAACCAATTCACATTCAGGAAGTAGTGCAGTGATATTTTGTAGTCTGGAATGCTGAGAGCAAATATTTCATTGTGTATTTCCACCTGACAAAGCAAGTACCAGGACTTGCTTTTCTCAGAGAAAGATCAAGAGGTTCAGCAGGGAGACAGCACCCTTGTGACTGACAAATAGGAAGATGCCTGTGAAATTTAAGACCAGTTTTGGGAAGGTAAGCATCCATAATGAGCACTAGGAAAGAAGGACAGGGCTGTAAATTAGATCAGAATGGGCCCAAGAAATAAAGCCTTGTCATGGGAGGCAGAGTAATACTATTGTTCAAGAATTTAAAACTCCACTTCTTGGGTGCACTGTGTTGTCCAAATCCATTAATACTCTTAAAACAAGTATTAGGTTTCAAAAGGTAACACTGATGTAAACAAACAAAAATATTATTAATTTACACTTCCAAAACAAAAGTGATTGTTATGAAATGGGAAGGAAACGGAAGATTTATGGAAGAGTTCTTTTTATTTGGTGTTAACATTGCCATTTGGATTCAAACCACTTCCAAGACTGTGACACATGAAGCAGCAAATAATGCTGTTCCACTGCTTTGAAAAGGTCACAGCTGTGACAGAAACACAGCAAAGCCAGCCCAGCTCCTGAGGTGCATAAATGGCAACCAAACATTGCCATGATCTGGGCCAGTGTTAATTCTTAGTTAGCACCCCATAACCATAAGGATTAGGAATACGGGGAAGCAGTTTATCCAGGTTTTTTTTAAAGTAGTTGTTTTCCATGACACCAAAACATGATGATAATAAAATCTTTTGGTCATTTGACTTAAAGTTTGCAACTGAAGCACCAGACAATTAATTTTCTTCCAACTTTTCTTCTGATTAAGAAGTGAAGCTTCAGCCTGCAGCAGCATAGTAATTTAGTTATTTCAATAACACACAATATTCAAAACCAACAAGAGTTTCTAGTAATTTGTCTGGGGAGTCTCCTGCATGGCTTTGCATGCCAAATTCCACCTTATTCCATCTGTGCCAATGAATAACTTTGTAATTAGATCTCTCAAAGGGTTTCTGAAGGGGGAGAAGTCTCTAAGGACCTGTTTTTTCCAGTTCCCCTGCAAGCATATAGTAGACCTGTTGGTTTCACTGTGATTATCACTGTGAGAAACCATGGCCAAGATCAAATGTCAAGGATGATTCCCCCTGAGAAAGAAGAGACAGTCTAAAACCCTTTTGCAGCAGGTAGTTTGATTATACAGCACGTTGTTACATATGTGAACACAATATCTTTTTTCATAAATAGTAATTATTAAGACATGTGAACATTAAAATTACAGATATTATCCATATTTACAGTCTTCAATTACATTGTAATCTCTAATAAATTCTATTTTAGCAGTTTATTCCTCTCATAAGAACTGCATGCCCGTGTGAGGCCAGTAATCCTGTCTCCAGCAGTGGCCAACAATGGAGGTTTAGAGAAAAAATCAACACAGCAAATATATAGAACATCTCCCTGAAGCACTCTTTTAGTATCTAAACACTTATAGCTTACCTTTTTTTTTCCTAGCTATTTATCTTAATGGATTAAATCAAGTCTCTAATCTTGTCATAAACAGTATCACCAAAGGCTATGAAAAACTTGAACAAAAATAAATTTTAAGTCAATAAAGTTCCTCTGACATTCCATTCCACATTGAGATATATTTACACATAAGATAGAGTTTCTATAGGTACTGAGCATATTTATTTCCCAGATAATTTTGTAAGGAGTGGAGAAGACCTACAATTTCAGATTAGTTAATTCTGAGCTAACAGAGGCTGATAATGTTATTTAAGGGGACAGCAATGTAATATTTGAAAGATTCTATAGATGGCACTCTTGGAGAACACTTGCCAGTGCTGAAAATAAACATGGTTTTCACCACAGTATTTCTGTGAATTTTAAATTATTCAGCAGTTTTCTTTAGCAGGAATAGTTTGTGCCACATGCATTCATCAAATCTATTATGATTATTTTTCTTGACTTCAAGGCATAACAGAATGCTACTGCCTTTTTCACAAAGAAACAAGTTAATAAATAGGTTTCTTAAATTGTATATTAGCCTGAATTCCATAGCTACAAATACTGCCTGTCAATGTACAACTCTGGAAGACCTGAAAGAAAATGTAGAGTTTTCATTGTTCTGTCCTTGGTTTAATGAGATACTTCTCAAGCAACAAAGCCATTTCCTTGATGAACAAAGGGTGAGCAACTTCCTTGGGCCATGTTTATTCAGCTCAAGTCAATTTCCTAGATATTATTTCAATGTCAAATTCCATTATTCTTATATAAAAGTACAACAAATTTTTGAAAATACATTATAAACTGACAGAAAAAAAACCAAACCTTGACTTTTGAAATAATTTTTAATATAAATATTTTTTACTTTCTGCATAGTACAGAATGTTGACTACTATTGTAAGGTAAATTAATTCACAGTATGATTCAGCTCAACTTTTACATGACAAGACACCTTAAATACACAGTCAAACATGCATACATATACATGTATTTTGGGTTTACCTGAAAATGCAGTTAGACTTGCACAGTATATTTCATAGTTATCATTTGGAAACTTATGTTTAACCACAAGGACAATTTGTTATTGAGTCACAGTGACTATTGTCACTACTGTCTTTAGTCATTTAAACAAGGCCAATCCCATCAAGCTTTGTTTTCAGTGACATTTTTTTGAAAACTTGTGGCAACATAAGAAAATCTTTAAATAGTAGCCACAGGATTCATATTGCATAAGGATAAAATGTTTTTCCTCAATTTTACCTGAAAAGCAATCTAAGCTTTCAGGTTTATCATTAACAGTCCAGCAAACTTAATATTCGTGGCAGGCACAAGGGAACATGCATTTGTAATATTTATCTGTATAATTTAAAATGCCAAGTAGAATAAAATGAGTTACCTACTCAAATACATCATATATAAACCCAAGTGGAAGTCATGTATGATAAAATGAAGGAGATGAAAATACCCTCCACACCAAGTCAGCCATGTCATAATGGGATGTGATGTCCCAATAAAAATTCAATCATCTACTTACCATTCCCTCCAGTCACCCAAGTGAGTAAGGACAAAATCCAGACAGCTAACCAGCACTTAACAGGATGACTCTGAAATTACTTAGACTTCCTCTATGAGCATGTCTGATATGCTGGAAATGTGCTTGCCACCTTAATTTGTAAAGGTGCTCAGAGTTAGTTAGTCAGTTAGTCAGTTAGTTAATGGTGGGAACTGGTTTTACAGGCAATGCACCTAGATTTAAGTCTCTAAATGTGAGTTCAATATATAAGTTTCTATTATGAGTTTGAAGCTTTGAGAGTGTTTCTCAGCCCATAGGGATGGAGCTGGCATCTGGTCACAAAGATGGCTTTGCTGAGGAGCCCAACCAGGAGTTTCCTCCTGCATTGCTTCAGGAATAGCTTTAAATACCCCATGATCCTGTGCTGAACTACACTGTAGCAGCATCAAGATCCATGATCTGGACCCTGACTCACAGACTGATTTGCAGGCTGGACCTTAACACCTGCCTCATCACTGTGGGACTGATGTTTCACTTGCCCTAGCTCAGCTATCAGGCATGGGAAGGCTTGATCAGGCTTTACCAAGCGGAAAAATAAGTCAGACATGGCTTTTTCTTTGTCGTTTGTTATTAAGTCCTCACTCCTTTGAGCAGTGACTCACATTTCCTCCCCCCTCTTGCTGGAAGCTGGAACAGATTGCCCAGAGAGGCTGCAGAGTCTTCATCACTGGAGATACTCAAGAACTGCTGGGACACAATCCTGTGCAATGGGCTCTGGGGTGACCCTGCTTGAGCAGGGAGGTTGGACCAGGTGATCCACTATGGGCCCTTCCAGCCATGCTGTGGTTCTGTGTGGCATCACCAGAAACTAGAATTCAGCCTAGAAAACTGAGCCATTAATCAGATACAGCACAGAAGTATTTGTTTAAATGTCTGTTGTAGTTGCAATGCATCCCACAGTGCTAAGCGTTCTAGTGAGTAATGCAGTAGTTACACAGCAAAAAACCTACCAATTTAACTTATAGGATCAGCAAAGGCATCCATTTACCTCATTTGTTTTAGTGAAGAGTTTCTCAGGAGTAAGCACATGTAACGCAGGTGCTGTCTTGTGCAAGTTTAGCTGAACTTCTTACTTTCTTAGCTCAGGTGAAAAATAAAGTTTCCTGCCAAGAAAACAGCATTAGAATACTTCAGCCTCTGATGTGTTAGTTTTGCATATGCCTGCCATAAAAGAAAATTGAAAAGTTTAAATTGTCATATTCTTCACCTTAAAAGTTTGTCTGTCTATAGAAGCAATTTTGCAAAAATGAAATTTCATACGGCTCACCTCTGTGCACTGTGGTAGACTTGAATGCATTCTGTTTTGGGATATGGGTGCACATACAGGTTCCACACACCTGTAAAATCAGATTTTTTTCCATGCATATAATCCATACTTGCAGGATCTACAGACTATTTACAAGAAAATTATAAGCCATTCTAGTACTTCCTGTAGTTGCTCCTGCTACATTGTGGCAAAATATGTTATTTTCTGACACTTGTAAGATACATTTATTTGGAATAAGCCTACTTTTTAAGATAATCAAAATAAAATATTTGCATCTTAGAAGTTTCAGAATGAAGTATATTAAATAGAGTATTGTATTTGATATCTATAAATCAGGATAATACCTCCTTACTAAAAAACTCTGACATCTGTTGCTGAAGCTGTGGGTCTTGTTTTTAATACTCTATCTGTAATATGAAACCATGGACTTAATGCTTTCTCTGAGTGATACTATAAAATCACTTTTTATCCTTGTTCTCTTTCTCTGCTTCAAGACTTTTTATCATAGCAATCTTCCTTTCATATCCCTCCCAATGACAAGCAATATAGCACTTCAATCCTGGTGATTTTGCTCTTACTAGTCATTGTCCAGGCTTCCTCCATAAGCAGCAAAAAATTAACTACATTGATAAAGTGAAACTGAATCTGCCACAGAGACTTTCAGATACCTCATTATACATTTTGCCTAAGGTGACCTTTTAAGCAGCAGCATATTTTCATGTAAGATTGACCACTGTGGCACAGTTCATCCACATGTAAATCTCACTGTGCAAAAATCTGCTAAGAGGAGACTGACTTACAAATGATGCATGAAGAAAAAATGTCTATGTACTAAATAAATTATTGATTGCTTTTTAAATATGAGGACATCAGTATAGGGATTTTATCTTTAACTACTAATGGAGAGCCTTGTCTTACCTACTGAAAAAAAAATCCATATGGAATAACAAGTATTACTCTGTCTTTTGTACCTGGTAGTGTTTGTAAGTTTTAGTGACGTAAAGTATAGCACCAAATCTGTTTAGCAAGTTTTACTGTTTATCATCCAGGTTAATTGCTATTCTAAATACTTTTATTTCTGTGAACTTTTAAGTATAGATGCCAGGAATTTCATACTTTTGTCATTATGTTAACATATGACTACAGACACTTGTTAGCCTTGATAGGAATCATAACAGCTATTACAATACTTAGGATGGGAGTGATTTGAGAATACATACATAGATTGAGCAACAGCTCATCAAAAGCCTGATTCTGATCACTCAAGCATTTAATTAATCTGTTATAATTGATATTGCGGTGATTAAAACTTACTTTTAGACTGAGATTTTGTGCCATCAAACCCATGTACCTTTCTCAGAAATATTATCTGTAATCTACCAGGAGGAATTAATAAAAAGTTCAGCTGTGCATTTACTGCCCATTCAAGAGGTATCCCCAGGCCAAGTTATGCTGATAACAGGTGAGAGATCTGGATCCTCTATAGTGATGCATCTGCCTGCTGGACACTGTCCACCAAGGGACACCTGGAACCCTGTTCTGAGGGAGCTGGTGGGACAGACAGACAAGTCACAAGAGCTTGCAGCATGCTGCCTGTATTCCAGCCTAATAACCGAGGCTCATCTGTGATAGGCAGTGCAAGGTGCAGCTGGGTGGTGAGTGAGTTCACCAGCAGATGTTGTGCAAAAAACTTGAGTGTGGAAAGATAGCGGAAGATATCTCAGAATACACCTTAAGGATACCCTGAAGGTATATTTGACTGAGAGCAAGTTACTATAAAACAATGCCATTTGGAGCACCAAAATGAGGAAAGATGATGGTCTCTTAGAAGGGAAACAGCACAGCTTCAGCTGGGAAATGCAAAAGTGAGAAGAGAATACTGACAACTCAGGCATTTAATACTGCTGTTTAAATAGTAAAAATGGTTTATCACACACAGGTCTAAATACACCCTGAACCCTGCAGCTTCATTTATTCCAGCGAGCCCACAAATACAGTAAACTAACATCTACATGATCATGAATTAACTAATACCTAACAAGATTAGAGAGATTATTTACAAGACCAAGTAGTTACAGGACAAGGAGGAATGGCTTCAAGCTGAAAGAGACAAGCTTGAGATTAGATATTAGGAAAAAAAAGTCCTTGAGACTGGTGAGGCCCTGGAACAGGTTGCCCAGAGACGCTGTGGATGCCCCATCCCTGAAAGTTCCCAAGATCAGGTTGGATGGAGCCCTGAGCAAGCTGATCTAGTGGAAAATGTCCCTGGCCATAGGAGGGGAGCTGGACCTAGATGATCTTTAAGGTCCCTTCCAAGGGTCCTTCTTTGATTCTATGATAATTATATCTCAAATATGCAATGCTGTTACAGTGGGAAAACCTGGAAAATGTTTCAAGGCACATAAACATTATAGAAAAGTACAATTACTCATCAGTTGGCTGAAGGCAGTTGAACCAGCCTGATTTTGTAGTAGTACATGAACAATCAGCACTGAGAGAAGAGGTAAAACAGAATGATTGTGTATAGCTCAAAAGTGTATATCGTATCCTACCTGCAATTGTATGAGTATTCTCTTTCACTAATAGACATCTCAGTATGACTATCCTAAAAACAAATTTCAGCAACAATTAATGAACACTTCCCACTTAAAAGGTACATTCTTATGACATACAAAGCAGCTCATTACAAATCCTCCACTAGGATTTTTATCAGTAGGGTGAGAAAATAAATGTTTTGTTTTGACTCCTGCAACAGTAGTTTGCATTTCAATTTTTAAACAATGTGAAATTTACACTTATATTTACTTGAAAATGAATGCTAACAAGATCACATTTACTTTGCATTAGAGCTGCAGTCTTGATTGTTGAGGAAAATAAGGCACACAGAAGACAATGGCATTGACTTGCTAATATCTAAGTTTTATTTTGTATGTAGGTTATTTTTATTCTGTGAAAAGGGAAGAATTGGAAGTATTACATACAGCATTTAAGTACTATACAAAATAACTGGTTCCATTATAATGCAGTCCTCTCCAAATACCTTTCAGAAGACATTTCCTCTTGTATTTTCCAGATATTTCCATTAGTGATGCATCCTTCAGAAATAATGAATCATCATGGATGTCATTTGCACCCTTTTATATCCGGCATAAGACCCATATTAAACTGCAGTTCCAGCCTCTCTCTCCAGATGGTATCCTGTTCTACACTGCACAGCACCTGGGCACTCAGTCAGGTAAGGGATTCCAGCCTGCTGCTATCATACAGCCAGGTACTTTTGTGAAAAAGAAAGGGACTACCTTGGGGTGATTCAGGCATTCAGTCTGGGTAACTCATTGCCCATGGAATCATAGAATGTTAGGGGATTGGAAGGGACCTAAACATTATCTAGTCCAAGTCCCCTGCCATGGGCAAGGACACTTTCCACTAGACCAGGTTGCTCAAGGCCTTATCCAGCCTGGCTTTGAACATTGCCAGGGATGGGGCATTCACTGCCTCCCTGGCAACCTCTTCCAGCGTCTCATCATCCTCACAGTAAAATATGTCTTCCTAATATCTAAAATTTCCTCTCTTTCAGTTTGTACCCACTACTCATTGTGCTGCAGTTCCCGACAAAGTCCCTCTCTGACTTCCCTGTAGCCCCCTCCAGATGCTGGAAGGTTGCTGTAAGGTCCCCACACAGCCTTCTCTTCTCCAGGCTGAACAGCCCCAGCTTTCTCAGCCTGCCATTGTTGGGGAGGTTCTCCAGTCCTCTTATCAACACTATGGCCTTCCTCTGGACTAGCTCAAATAATTCCATGTCCTCCTCATGCTGGAGACACAGGAATTGTATTGTACAGTTGACTTGAACTGTAAATAATCAAGTTCATAGGAAAAAACCATGCAAAACCAAAGTTTTAGATAGTCCAAAGCCAGCAAATACTTAATGAACTTATTTAATGGTTTGGGAAAGCACTCCAGCTTTTTAGAAGCTACACAAAGATTCTCACTTTGGGGAGCCAGCCCAGTGTTTTAAATGACCAAATTCAAAGCAATATAAAAACTGATCAAATAAGTGAAAATGAACAGAGTAAATGAGGCTTCTCAGAAGTGTAGCTTTTTATTATAATAATGTTGAAAAGTGTGCCGCTGCAGCACGTAAAACATGCAAGTTCTGCATTTCCCAGATATGCAGAGTGACAAATAAATCTAAATAAAATATTTATAGAAGTATTTTAAACTTTTCTAAGTTAACATTCCTAAAACTTACACCATACTTTGATGGTGTAAGTACATTCTAAAATTTAGTCTTTAAGGTGTACATTTTTTGTAATTACTTTATTAACATATTAAATTGCATTTACATGGTGACTGCAGCTTTTGAAACAGAAGCATTATCTGGCATCCATAACATCACCTTAGAGCAAATTTTTCACTTGTATTGAGCAGTAAATTATGCAAAAATGATGATTTATAGGACAAAAAAAAAATATTGATCATGTAGTTTTACATTTCTTTGTTCAAAGTCTAAAGCTCTAAGATATTTCAATAAACATACTCAGCCACAAATTCATGTAAACACCCATATGCCCAATGTACCAGCTTACTGTGTACACAGATGTTTCAACAGGTTGATAATGCATCATACACTGCTGACACCTCCAGTTTGCCTTATTCTAACTGCAACCACATACAGAGAAGCTTCAAAGAGAAATATATGGAGCATCTGTAATAAAAACACATGTATTAGCAGGAAAGCTCTGTTTTCTACAATGAATCTTTAATAGTTCTATCACTTACAGGCCAAATTCTGAGATTCTTGGTGAATTGTTCTCTCCTGCATAAATTAGAGCATTACATGGGCCATGAAAAATAGAAAAAAAGGATCTCTCTCAAAAAGAATAGTCAGAGGTCATGGAAGCAGCTAGGATATAATGAAATTAAATAACTCTTTGGAAGCATCAAAGAGAGTGCTAAGTATATTTAACTTGGGCCAGGAGTGGTGTAGTCTGAGCATGCCCTCATACTCTTGCCATTCCTGAGTGTTTAGTTTGCACAGGAAAGAATATTTTCTTTCAATCACTTTCTAGAATCATAGCAATTCCTTTTCAAAATAAAATTCCTCTTATATAGATGGATTTCTTTACAAATTTCTTGCTTCCACTTTCACTGTCCTTAAGTTTTGAAAGATTCAGGAAAAGCGAATCGCCTGGCTTTTTATTTTTGCCTTCATATAATCCTGTCAAATCCAGGCCAGAATTAGATTGATGAAAAACTTAGAAGTATTCTTAGCAGCCAGCAGATGAGATAGAGCTTTCTGTTGGGGATTAGTTTAGAAAGCACTTCAAATAAAGCTTCTTTTTCTAGACAGTTATGTAAGATTTAATAAATTAATTGCTGAAATCACAGGATTTTGTTTATAAAATTCCTTTTTAATAGGAAATAATTAGTAATGTTTTTCCTCACTAGGCAATGCTGGTTTTTTTAAAGAAATGAGCTGACTATGTGGCTAATTTAGCAATGATACTGAGTAGCACAGTTATGTATCAGTTTGGTTTGTCATCCACATAAACATCACACTGGGACTTTTCCTTCAGGGACATGTCTCACCAAATAATCCTCCCAACATTAAAAATAAAATCACATCTTTAGTAGGTAAGGAAAAGCCATGAGACTTCTGTTGAAACATTTTCTTCCAACTTTGTTCTTTTCAAAAGAACATGACAGAACTTTCTAGAAAGGGCAAGTCTCTCCTTACTTTGATCTACTGGTTCGAGCTTCTATTCCTCTAAAAATATCACTGCTCCACGTAGTACACACATTAAACATCTCACAAACTGGCATAAAATGGAAAACATCCTCTGACTCTGTTTGCATATTTCCTATAATTGTCAGTCATCTATTTTGTTGCTTTGTCAACTATTTATGAATGTGCATCATGACTTTGTGTATGGTACTACCGATTTCTGCAGGCCCCAAGAAAGTAATTTCCAAAGTTTGACAAAATTTATGTGGCTAGCAATATTAATAACAAGTTGGGGGGGATAAAACCCAATCCAACAAGTACATTGACTTCAGAAACTTGAAGACAGAATGACAAGGAGATTTTCTTCCCCTCTGACTGCTTGCTCTATCCACTGCTTCTGGGCAAGGTCTCTGCAAACACTATGGAACTCATGTAGAATCCAGCACACTGTTTGTAGAAGGCCAGCTCACTTCACGTTTTCTCAAGGGCAGTGTGTCCGGTTTTTACCGATGAAGACATAAGTCTCCTAATGATTAAACAGCCTTTAATTCAGACAGGGCTTGCTGGATGCCCACCAAGTACTTGAACAATGTATATAATTCAGTCTGTTTACACAGCAACCACTCTATATACTTGGAGGCCTTCCTTAACACTCTGGGTAAAAGGCAGTTTAAAAGAAGCCTTGCTTTTTTGTTGAGTCATAGCATTACTGAAGCTTTACATTTTCTAGCAAAGGTGGAACATGCCATTGACTGCCTGCATTATTCCAGAGTTGAGGCCAGAGTGATGGAAAGGTTTGCTCCCCAAAGAGATGAGAACAAACAGTCATGCTAGGTGACTGAAGTCAGGTCAATAAACAGAATGGGATGACTTGTGCTAAATTTAACACTCAACATTTGCAACAGCAGTTCTCTGTCTCTCTCCAGCCAGATTACGTTACCTGCCCAGTCTGAAAAAAATAAACACTGTAACTTTTGATATTTAAGGCATTTCAGTTTATAAATCTATAATGTGAAAATAAGAGAATGCCAGTTCAAGTGTGTGATGTCTGCATGATTTTCTAAAACACTGCTTATGATGAAAACTGAATCATGGAACTGGACTAAAATCTTCGGGAAATATTCAGAATTTCTTCATACCCAAAAGGCAGGAGTAGTATTTTCCTAATCAGAAATAAACTGATCCTTCACTCTTAAAACAAGAACATGAGTGGTTAAGCCTTTTCTCTTTGCAGCCATATTTCCTTAGCTGACAGGGACGTAATTTCTGCTTTGTTACTAGTTTTGTAATAATTTGTATGGACTAAATCAGCAGTGTAGGAAGAACAGCCAGTCAGCTGTGTGACCAAAGAGACATCCCCACTGCCTTGAAATCTGTTGCATATTAAGTGTTATTGTTACCCATTTCACAGTGGCAAGCAAACCAAAAAAGTTTGGCAAATTGAGGTTGCTCGAGGAAGGTGGTTCCTTCCAGCTGCCAAAATGTGCCAGGGTGACAGCAGTGACTAAAGGAAGCACAGTAAGGTTAAAGAAGAAACACATTTTGGAAAGGTGAGGCTGAACAGTGTAACCTACAAATAGGTAAGTGCCCACCCCATGTAGAATGGGCATCACTGTCTGCAAGGTTGCTCTGGATCCCAGCTATGCCCTTCCTACTATGGGATGATGCTCCAATCTGAAGCTGGACCCTTACCTATTGACACACTGATTTTTAACATGGTTTGGGAAATATACAGGCTTGACTTGCCACCAGTTTTCAGTCTTGCATGAGCTGTGACATGGAACTCCACACATAGAAATGAATATATTATAATAATCCATGAAAGCATATCCATGGGTAGCTCCTTTAAGTGCACATTAGGGTCACTGGCTATGGTCACCCCTAGGTAAAGATCAACAACAACAGCTTACAACAGCTGCAACAAGCTCCTTTACCTTGTCAGTCAGCTGGTACCTAACTGCATACACACAATCAGGCAAGGGAAAAGGCAAGGTTAAAAAACTTAAAGGAAGGCAGTTTCAACCATGTTGACATATTACCAGCTAGCAATTAACAGCAGAAATTGCAGAGGGTGGGAAAAATGCTTGTCTCTTCTCTGTTCTTTGTTCCCTCATTTACCCTTTTCTAGTCCTTCCTCTTCTTCCCTGTTTTTTCTCCTTGGTCTTGGGCCTTATTCTGGCTACTGGATATGCTCAAGATGCATGTGAAGGATAACTGCTGGTCAGTCAGGTCTCCTCTCAGGTAGACACCACAGTGCATCACCTTTCTTGGCCACAAATTGTAGCTATTCATCTGGAGGCTGATAGAGCTATTTCAAGCCCTTCTAGACAAAAAAAGTTCTGCTCCTGGAAGAATATGTAAGAGGTGACAAGTCAGCAAGGCAGGAAGGAGCAGTGAGCAGATACCTCTTGGAGCTGTGATGGTTACAGGATGCATCAGGCCAATACAAGGCAGTAATACTGCTCGAGACACAGGCACTTCATTATGGTGGCTTAGCAAGGTCAGTCTGGAGTGAAGATGAGCACATAGCAGAGCCTAGAGTAAGAGGTTCCACAAACTGGGAATGATTCCCATGGATTTACTGATTATGAGGATAAAGGGCTCAGATGTTTGCTCTACCACCAAGATGGTGCCAATGATCAGTAAAAACTTCCGAAAAAAATGGTGAAAGGAGAGTGGAGGAAATATTACTCAATACCACAGTGACAGAAACTGGCACTCTGGGCTCGAGCTGGAGGACAGAAGGGTGAGGTAAAACCAACAAAAGGCACAGAGTCCAAACATACATCCAGAAGTGCTCTCAGGGCTCCGAAACAAGGAACCAAGACTGTCAATGTCCAAAAACCAGGAAATCACAGTGTAGGGCTCCAGGGACACTAAAGCTGCAAGAAGCTGCTGAAGCACTGAGCTCATCAAAGCCTCTGTCCCCAGCTTAGCATAGGGGCTTCTGCTAGTGACAGGATGAGACAAAAGACAAGAAACACATGACTTAAAGGAATTTAGATCTTCAGTAGTTCCAGGAACTAATCAGTGAATGTTGAGCACCTTCAGAGACACTTGCATCTCTGTATCACAGAGACTAAGGTATTAGGTAGCAAAAAAGTGAACACCACTGACTACAAGATTGCATCCACTACTACAAAAGTCACTTAAAAGTGTGTTCTTCAAGTTCCTTTGGCCATGCAAACTAGTGGAAAATCCTTAATTTGCAGTGGAGTGTAAGAAAAACCCCAGGTACTCTTTTAACAGGTAAGAAAGGCCTTGCCTTACACACACACACCAGAGCACAAGGGTAGACTTAAGTCACTGTGGGGAAGAGACAGAAATATTAAAAATACCATCCAGGATGCTGTCCCAGCTCATAGTATCAGACTGGGATACTCAGACACTATGTTCAGGCCTCCTAGGAAATACATCTGTATTAGGCATATTTGGTAGTGTGGGCAGTAAATGCAGAAGTCTTTGCCCAACACAGCTGTGTAAAGAGAATATTACTTTTTTTTTCCTCTGGTGATGCTTCTGGCCTGAAGAGAACATCTCCAAAGAGAGTGCAATTTTCCTAGCATGCATTTTCAACTGTACCAAGTTTTGACAAATTATGATGTACCTGAGTTTTCTATGGTAACACAGAAACATGGAGAGTTGATACTGCTTGAACATGATCCTCTTAGAATGGGGGTATACAGACACATCTGCAGGTCCAGATAAAGACTGAACATGAAAGGGCACTGTCACTATTTGGAAGAATTTAAAATTTGACTATGAGGCTGTAGCAAATTTGTTGAAGAGACTTGCATACATACTCATAGTAGTAACAAGCTGAAAAATTTTGTGATGCACTCAGAATTTATCATAAATCATATAAGATACTATTACAGATAATCCAGAACTCAGAGTAGCAGTTGGATGTACTGTTAGGAGACTTTTCATTATCTCCCAGTTTTAGGAACTGACTGCTCAAGACACAGGGCTGACTAGCCTTCTGGGAATTCTGACATCCAATAGGGGAGCTGATGAGACTTGTACACATAAGAAAAACATGAAAATAAAAGTTATGAAGGAAAATTCTCCCCTGCTTTGGAGTTCTGGTTTCTAATACAGAATAGAGACAACCCACTCTGAGGCAGAGCAACTTTGACCATCAGTCACTTGGTGAAAACCCTGAACTAGGATTTGCAGGTAGAAGTGCTGTTTTATCTCCAGAACAGGTTCTTCCTTAAGGCAATACCTGCTAAAAAATTCCCTTCCCTTGAGAAGAAAACAATATTTTAGCATTTGGGCAATAAAAAAAAAATCACTTTTTTACTGAAACAGGGAATATGACAGGAGGCAGGAAGGTGCAACAGAACAGAACTGAATGTTGTTAATAATTTTGTTCAATGCCCAGGGTCTTGACATGTTGCAGTTTCAAGGCCCATCTAAGCTACAACAGCCTACTTCTAAAGATTCAACCCTGCTGACACAGATTGCCTTACAGTTCCTTGCCTCCAACAGGTTGGGCAAAGACTTGTATGCACAACAAAAGAACAACCGTGTGAGTGCCTGTCTCCGGAGTCTCTCTGCTTTTTTTGTGACACCAGTGATGGAGATCAATAGCCCATATTAGATGAGATGCTCATCTAAAAAACCAGAAGCAAAGTTGTGTGTCCTGTGCCTAGATTGTATTTTCAAGAAAGCAGGGATCAGCCATACAGTCCAGTGTTGGAAAAACTAAGGATGTCATCTCCTTCATGCTTAACAAAAGTGAACTTCCTCAGAAAGGTCTCTGGCCACAAACTGAGACAGGTCTGATTAACAATCAAATTGAAATAGTGAAAAACCACACGGTCTCCTATATAGAGACTCCTGAGAAGAGAAAATCAATGACAAGAATGCCATTTGTTTAAACTGGTGATAAATTCCTGTGATGACATCAGCCTGCACAGGCTCCAGCTGTGCAATCGGGTCCTCAGAGACAGGGCAGATGGAGATCCCTTGTTGGAAATATTACTGGGTTGCTAAACTGAAAATGATCAAAGACAAGCCCAGCATTTGCCTTCACTTTAAGAGGAAGTTTCTTGGACAGTGAATGCACAGCACTTGCTATGACAGTCCTAAGATATTTTTAGCCAGTTGTCCCTAGTAGTACCTAGGATACTATAAACTTCATGGAGAAATACTGACTGCACCCTAGGATCAGCTTTCAGATCCTAAAATTTATCTCAACACTCTGTTGTTCTTAACGACTAAAATGTCAAGTCATCTTGAAAAGAGAGGGTCTAACCAGAGGAGAAAGAAAGTACTTCAAAAGCCTCAGGGAGAGGTGAAATTGGAAAGTGTAATTTTTCTGTTCAAAAGTAGAATTACTCCAATTTGAAATGAGACTTCAAATTGTGCCAGAACAGAGTACCCAGTGATAACCTCTTTACACTGCAGACAGCAGATTCAGTAATATAGATTTTTGAGGCAAGACTAAGTAAGATTCCAAAACAGATCATTGTCAAATGTGCAAAGCCACCAAAACCCTCCCCTGCAGGCCAGGAAGTCTTGGAGAACTGCCACTTTCTCTGCGTCTTGATAACAGGTCAGATGCAACAGCAACCCTGGTCAGATGTTTTCCTCCTTCCAAGACAGCAAAATATGAGTACTTGTGCCCTAACACAAATCTGCACATCGAGGTAGGAGAGGGGATCAAAGGCTGCAAAGAGCTAGTTCAGAAACTTTTCCTCATGTTCCTTTCTTACCCTAGGATTGAGGGCCTGATAAAAGAAAGTAGATAAGCAGGTTATGTACATTGATGAAACAAAGCAAGGTGAGTGCATTCAAACTATGCACTGAGAAATCAAGCACACTTAAAGCCACATCACTAAGCAGGAGAAATCCCAAGTGAAGGAATTGATACTAATTTTCTGGAAAAAAAAAGAAACAAGCAAGGTCCTTGAAAAGAATACTAAATACAGGGAAGCAAACCAGATCATCACAACTGGAACTAGCAAGCTAAAAGGAAGTGCTCTGCCATTATCAGAGTTGGAAGAGCTTTCTTCTTGTTCCTTCCATGGGTATCTGGAACAGGGAAGGTGAGGCATGAAGTATGCACTCTACAGCCACTAATGCAACTGAAACATCTTTATCCTGCCTTAATGACAAACTGAGTATCTTTTGAATAGGGAGGTATAATTTTAGCAACTTTCACAAGCCTCCAGTAAATAAAACAATTCAATTTCACTACAGGTAATGTAATTCAATGATTAGAAATAATCAAAAATTAAACACACATGAAAGCAAACTTCATCATTCTACTGATAGGCCCACCCTTAGGAATGTTGAATCTTAAAGGAAGCTGGACTGGTAACTATTAGGAAAATTTGCATTCAAATTTAACAAACACATTTACCAGTTTAATTGATAACAATCTGATGGCTATTATTTCCAAAAAATTTGAGAACATAACTTTTATTTTGAGACTTTTCTGCTGTCCTCTTCTGCTTTCCTGTCACCTTCCCCTATTAGACTCTATTGCTGCTCCTACAAACTTCTCCAGCTCCCATTTCCTAACCTTTCCCAGCTTTCCTTCTTCGTGCTCTGTTGTGAAAAGGAACCTTCAGGGAAAGCAGAGTATGTCTGGTGCAGACAAAACTGTTTACATTGTTCATTAAACTGACAAATCTATCAAGCTTTTATTCAACATACTGAAGCTGAGTATTTCTGCCTTTTTAACTTGGTCAAAACTTTATTCTTTTCCATGGGAACACTGATTCACATTTCCTGGATGGCAAAGTCATCCTGTTTCCTCCTACCTCAGTTATCTAGTCTCTGCACAAAAGCAGATCTTTTCAGAAGGCTGGGCTTTTTACTTTGAGGCAAATATGAGCTCAGTTTCCAAGAATGAAAAAAAAAAGGCAAAGAGCAGCTCATCAGGGAACATTTCATTTTGTGTGATTTAGATATAATGATAGTACAAGAAAATGCAAGCATGAAAGCATCAATCATTAATATGTTGTTCTTCAGTGCACCCCCTCTAAAAATTAAAACTATTTTATACTGTTTTTTACAGGTGACTTTCTATGTATATCATTAGTAAATGGATTTACGCAGTTACGCTACAACCTTGGAGACAGAACAGTCATCCTACAGACCCTTCAGAAGGTTCATGCAAATGGAAATACATGGCATTTACTCAGTGCAGGAAGAGTTGGAAATGAAGGCTACCTGGACCTGGATGGCATCAATGTTACTCGAGAAGCTAGTCCTGGAATGAATGCACTAGACACACACACAGATTTTTTTGTTGGAGGGGTATCCTCCTTAAACCTTGTTAATCCAATGGCAATAGAAAATGAACCCACAGGTTTCACTGGTTGTATTCGAGAAATTGTTATAAACAACAAGGAACTGAATCTTACCGTGACTGACCCCAAAGGTGGAGCCAACATTGGTGACTGTGATGGAACAGATTGTGGTTACACTGTGTGCAAAAATAATGGAACATGTCAAGTTGAAAACACAGGCTTTTCTTGTTCTTGCCCACGAGAGTGGACAGGGACCATGTGTGAACAATCTATTCACTGTTCACAAAACCAGTGTGGGTCTCATGCACTCTGTATTCCTCAACCTTCTTCATTTTCATATACCTGTGCATGTGCACTAGGCTGGACAGGTAAATACTGCAATAACAAAATCAAATTTTATATAGCAGAGTTTGTCGGTAACTCCTACATTAAATACACAGATCCTCTGTATGGAAAAAGAGACCTCGAGTACAGCCGCCTTTCTTTAAATTTTACTACCAATCAAACTGAAGGCTTAATAGCATGGATGGGAAAAAGTGAAGATGAAGATAATGACTTCCTTGCCATTGGTCTTGCCAATGGAACTTTGAAAGTTGTGATTAATCTTGGAGAAAGAATCTCTGTTCCTCTAATGCACAGCAAATACTTCACCTGTTCTGATGGAAGATGGCATTTCGTTACTGTAGTTCAAAACCAAACTTGTATTAAGGTTTATCTTGATGAGGAACTAATCCTTTTTGAAGATATTGACCCACAAAGGAAATACACTGCTTTAAACTATGGTGGCATTTGTTACTTTGGTGGGTTTGAAATTGGCAGGGAAGTCAATATAGTCACTACAGGGCTTTTTCAGAAGGAATTCATTGGTAAAGTTAAAGATGTTGTGCTCTTCCAAGATTCTAAAAAGATTCAGCTAATGAAAGCAGAAGGATACAACATTCATGATGGAAATTCTGGAAATTAATTGAAATCACTGTCCAAGACTCTTTTAAAAAGGATAAAATTCCTTTTCCTCCTGCTTATTGTGTTAGCTGGCAGTGTATGACTAAGCAACCAGCATAGGAAAGTGCTTAAAAAGTAGTAAGGAACAAATCTATGTGAAGTACTAATAGCATATACATATAAAATATGATCAGCTGTTTTCCTCCTAGAATTATTTATATATTCTCTTTAGAATTTACTTTAAAATAATGGGAAAGTCTGCAGGGATTTGTTTTTCTTTATTGCGCTGGAGATAGCTTTGTAAACAAAGAGGTAGTGATTAACTTATAAAGCCAACTATCATTCAAATGTTTGCTGCTTTATGAGAACAGACAACTATTACCTGTTTGTCCAACTCTTGAATTTTATTAGAATGTTTACTTATTGAGGTCAAATCTAAAAACTGAAATTGGTGGGGGAAGAAAAGATGTGCTTGAGGCAAAAAAGCACATTTATTGTAATGAGAATTTTGAAAAATATAACAGTTATAATTATTTGTTAAGCACAAAGACTAATTTTAATTACTAATTTAATAATTAGGTAATGAAGTTGTTCTCTCTCCTGAGTCTGAGACTGCATATATATATATCTATATATATATAGATATATGTATAAGAGGGTAGAATTCAAGCCTCTTAAGTCTGTTAAAATATTACACTTAAAGAATGATTTTAAGAGTAAAAAAACTATTTAGAGAGAGAAAACAGGCCTCCTGGTTTTCTCCAGCAGAGGTATCCCCTACATGACTCCATGAAAACTTTTGGCTTTAATGGTTTGTAACTGGAATGTGGTAGTCTGCCTACAAGTAACTTTTACTCTTAAAACCTTAGAAAGTTCAAGAACTGCTCAACCTTACCTATACCTTTCTGGTTTATATGTCCTTAAATGACACTTCAAAATTTTATGAGAACAGAGGTATTGGTCATAGTAAACCAAATTTCTGCAAATATATTTTTCATTAATTGATAATCTCAAAAGTAAATAGAGCTGTTCATAAATAAATACAAAAAAATCAATTCCTTCTCATGAAGCTGTGTTATATTCTGCTTTAGGAAGCAATAAAAAAAATAATTCAAATGCTATTTAATATGCTTACACAATGTATGATGGCATCTACATTTCTCATTTGATTGCTGGCTTACTATATAAGTAAAATTATTAAATAAAAATAATAATGATTGATTCCTATATTTTCCTTTTTTACTTTAATATTGATCAAAAGCACGCAACAAACCATCATCTCCTTACATGGAAGTTCTCTGAATGCAAGTCTTCAGCAGGTATCTGCCAGAAACAAGTAACTACTCTGGGGTGGAGAGGGAAGTGAGGATGGGGCGTTTGTTATGGAGCAAAGGCCATAAGCACCTAAAACTAGGTAACACACATTTGCTTTCATATCACCATATTTAGCATGAAAGCACTGTCAAGTCAGTTACAGGTCACTTAAAGGTAACTAAAGCACATGGGAGCTACCCCAAGATATTTTATTAAGCATCTGCAAACATCTTTGTGAGGTTCATTCTATCTTCTTCAGCTGCTCTGAGCCCTCAAGTGATCAGCCCGATGCAACAGAGCTTCTGCAACTCTTCCCAGAAGACAGCTCATGAAGCCCACCTGGCATTTGAGCTGTCCCCAAATTCTTGTCTTCCAGTTTCTCTAAGTAGGGCCTTTTATGGCCTTCATGAGATGTTGGAGAAGGGAGCATATTTAAGGTTTATCCTGTTCTCTCTGGGGCTTCTGGTGTACTGCCAGTTCCTCAGCAGTCCACACTGCCTTTTGTGATCTGAGCCGTGATTCAGTGTAAAACAAGGAACAAGTAATCAGAGCACTTCCAGCTAACACAAATGTTGGAAGGAGAGTGACTGAAGGCAATGGAGAAGTAAAATCCTTTATTCCTGTAGTAGCAGGATTTATTCCCATTACACTAACTCACATCCTAGGAACAAATCCTGGAGACTTTTGCTGTTTGTTAATTTAAACACTTAACAAAACTCTCCCTCTCAAGAGCTGTTTTACTGTGGCTCTCTTCAGGTTTTACATACACAAGGCAGGTGGCAAAGCACTCAGCAAACTTGAAAAATGTTTACATATTCATTTAAACAAATTATTTCTGGTAGTTCTGGCAGAAAGCATTCCCATCCCTTCCATTCAGGCAGTTGCAATTTTCACTGCTTCCAGTTTATTTTCAAAGCAGAGATGGATGCACATGTGAGAGGCAGATCACCAGTGACCTTGGAGTAGACTGCTTTTGAATGGATCAAAAGAAAATCTTCATATGCAGAGCTGTCAATTTAAAACTTACTCCAAAAATGAGAACAATGCATTTCTGTGCCAACAGAACTCAGTGTAAATATTTAAACAACAAAATACATGTATAATACTACCAGATATAATAGCAACAGCATTACTGCTATACAAACCATTGAACTAATTTGGAAAAGACTAGTTTTTTTTTAAAGATGTTTGAATATCGCTTTTAGTTACTGAGGATTTTTTTTTTAATTTGTCTTCTCAACAATGAGCCTAAGAAACATCACTTAATAACTATTCAGTGCAAGATTTTTAATTTTAGCCAATTTGATCATGAAGCTACTTGCAAGGTATACAAGTAAAAATTTACCTTAAAATGTATTCATAATTAAAACTAACAATTAGGATGTGGTTAAATTGAGAAGACTTTTCTGGAAAGAAGAGGCTTTTCTACAACAAAGTGCAAAATACTCTGTCAGCAGCATAGTAAGGTTGTGTACTCAAAGTGGAAAAACAAAACACTGAAAACCAGAACAATAAACCTCAGTTTTTCTTTATATCGTGGAATATTTTTGTTGTTTCTGACAGACTCAACAAGATGCCCAGTGTATTTTAATAAGAGTACGTGATTTTGCTTTCACATTTTCATGTTGTTTGGCATTGGTGGATGGTAGACCACAAAATACCAAGTTATCAGAAGTCCCAAGGGTACAAACACTTCTGCCCTTCTCTCCCCTCGTTGTTCTCCAAATCTCAAAACAAACCGAGCTATGAAGTGTACAACAAATGTGGCATTCTGTGACTCAGCCTTCTATATTCATTTAGCCTACAGTTTCACAGCTATGAAATCAAACACACACAGTATGTGAGAAAGTTTTTCATTTTAGAATCAAAATATCCCTTAAAATATTTACATTTTACAGTAAAAAGGATAGCAAAACACAAAGTAATGTACAAGCTTAGGTATTCAAGTTTTTGAAGCATGGAAAATGGTGGGAGAAATGAATTTACTACTACAAATCATTTTCGACAATTTAGGTTAGAAATGCTTTCTTATTAAAACAAGTGCAGTTTAAAGCAGTAACATTCGAGCAGCTCAGCCTTCCAATTTCTGGTCACAGACTGCTTCAGATGCTTAGGAAAAACTTGAAATATATTATAATGAACTATATTTGAGTTTTTTATTGTACTACTGAATAATTTTTTTTAAAAAAATCCAAACTCTTCACACCACCGAGCATATTACATTTTGTTGTAATATGTGGATTCTGAGGCTTTGCTGCAGTCTTTAAAAACAGTGCAATTTAAAAACAAGGTTATTGTATGAAAACCACCTTTAAAATTATCAGAGCATCTTAAAACAGAAGAGAGCACAAATTACCAAAGGCAGCAACTATATTGCAGACTTAACTAAAGCCAACTTCCTCAGCTAAGAAAATTCCTAAGCCTTTATTGCATTTTAATAAAAGAAATCTTTAAAATTTTGAATATACAGCAATGTAAAATTTTTAAAAATATTAAACTCCTACTTCTAGCGATAGTTGGTATAATGAAAAAAAGGATGAGTATTGGTACATTGAATGGTACCAAAACACAGACTTGTTTCTGCAAAACACCAACACAGAATAAAAAAACGATGGCACAATCCTAGCAGGCTCTCTTTTTTTTTTTTGTCATACAAAGTTTTACGACATTACTCTAACAGTTTATTTAAATAAGATTTTAAAAGACTGCCTGCATCTTTTTACCTTTTGCTTTTAGTTCTGTCACTGTGGTCCCTATGTCTCTCTCTGTTCTTTTCACTTTCTCGTTCTCTATGCTTGTCTTTGCTTTTCTCCCTCTCCTTATCTTTTTCATGAGCCTGTTCATCAATTTTAGGCTTCTCTGTCTTTTTTTCTGGATTTCTAGTCTCTCTGGGGCTTTTTCCATCAGCAGCTCTATCACTGTGTGGAGATCGCACTCTTTCTTTGTCTCTCTGTCCTTCCTCTCTACTCTTCCGCTCTCTCTCTTTTTCCTGGTTTCTGTCTCTGCGCCTGTTTCTTTCAGAATCTTGCTCCCAATATTTTTCATTGCTCCACTCTTTTTCATGTCTGTCTTTTTTTTGGTGATGGGTTTCACTGTAAAGTCTTTGTCGATCATTTTTTCCTCTACTGAAGCCTCTCTCCAAATGCTGTTCTTCTCTGCCCCAAGGATCGCTGTGGTGTCTTTCTGGTCTCCTACTGTCTTTACTCTGAAAAAAATTTTCTGGTCCCAAAAATCTTGATTGTTTGTGAGCCACTGGTAGCCCTTGTGCAATGGGTCCAGCATACTGTGGTGGCTGACCTGATAAATGAGCTACTGGTGGCCATGGCATCATTGGGTTTTGAGGAAAACCAAAACCAGGAGGAGGAAGAAGCGGAGGTGGTAAATGAGGAGGAAATCCAAACATAGGGTTGTTTTGTGGAGGGAAGTTATGAGGTGCGGGAGCCTGAAACTGAAATCCAGGTGGATTAGATTTAGAATGCTGAAAATTCTGCTGTGGAGATCCAACAGATGAGAAGCTGCCACTTGCAATAGGGCTTGGGACTTTGGAAATAAATTCAGAACGAGAAGAGTTTTCAGTTTCAAAATGAGATGAAGTTACAGCTGGTCCTCTTCTAAATGAGTTTACTGTTTCAATGTTTTGCATCAATGCATCTTCCTGTGAGTGTTTGGTATCTTCTGCTTGTGATGCAACTGTGTTATCTGCCTTAGCTGCAGCTGAACTGAACTGTGTCTCATTGGTTTGTGACTCACTTTGATACAGGCTTAAGCCACCTTCTCCAGAATGTTGTTTATTCTCTGGTTCTCCTTGATCATTTCCTGAAGCATTTTGTCGGTCTTCATTTCTGCTAGCATCATCCTTGTTTTCTGAAATATTAGTCTGCTGGCTTCGTCCAGCTGCCTGTCGTGGGTCTCTTTTAAGATTAATAAATGGTGGTGATTTAGAGGTATTAGCAGTAGTACCTTCAGCAGAGCCTACATTAACATTGTTCTCACTGGGTTTTTTCCCTGAATTTGATGAGGAAGAAAAGCTGGAATTTGTGCTCCTTCTAACTTCCTGTGCAACACTATCCTTGTCCAGTAACTGTCGCTTTGGGTCATTTTCTTTACTTTCTTCAGTTTCCTTATTCTGTGACTGAGCAGATAAATTTGCTAAATATGCCTCTGTGGAAACATCTGGAGGTTTTCCCTTAAGACTCAGCCCTATCAAAGAACCAGCACTTCTTGCAGAACTTGAGGTCCCTGCTGCATCCACAGTTACAGCAGCATTAGCAGATTCTTGAGGATCATCTAAACCAGTCTTTGCTTCACTAACTTCAGCAGTTACATCAGCAACATCCATGGTTTCTTCTTTCAAGGTTGTCTGTTCATTTAATAATGGTATGCTTTCACTAGGACCTGCTTCTGACTTGCTGTGCTCATACACCTGCCCTGTAGTACCCAACAGGCTTTGAAGAATATCATCTACTGGCAATGGTTTATTTGCTAGCTCCAGAGTAGAAGGCTGATTTTCCCATCCAACCAGGACTCCAGGAAGAAACCTGAGTGGCTTTGGTGGTTCATGTTTGGTACTTTCCACCAATGGTTCAACAGCTGCTGGAGCATCGTCTGTATTAGACTGCTGTGATTTATTTCTCTGCTTGTGTAGCACAGTTGTGAAGGAATTAAAAAAATTATTCTCCTCTTCTTCTTCTAGTGCCAAATCATGATGTGAGACTTCAGTTTTGCTTGGCTTGCTTTTCTTCTCTGGTGGCAAGCTACTCAAGGTACTTTCAGCAGCTTCATCTGCAAAACTACTGGTAACACTTGAAACAGCAGTAATCTGCCTCTTCATTTTCTGGCGAATTATCAATCCCAGTAATAAGTTTGGTCGATGTATTTCAATCCCTGTACAAAATTGCAACAGCAATTTATCATCTCTTTATATTTTGGTTAATGCAATAATTTATACAAAAACAACCCTCATCTACTTACAAAGTACCAGCAAAAGTACTAATCTTACGATATTTAAAATTGTTCTGCTTGTCATGTTAAACATTGACTATACTTAAAATAATAAAAAATATGTATTTCCAGTATTAAAATTATGACTTCAAGCACTGCAAACTGAAATTGTTTCAAGTACATTGTAACTTCCAAAGAGATAATAGAAGACAATTATATACGACATCTAATCTCATTAGAAACAGCACAGAAGTTAAACATCGTCTTAGTCTAACACAGCTACAACACGGTAGCAGTGGTAGCAAAGTATAATTGGAAAAAAAAAAAGTAAACAGAACACTTGCAAACAAAAAGTCTCCTCATCAATTTGTGTCAAGACATACTTCTTCAAAGATTTACCAGAAGCAAATTTCAGAAATGTTTCCCTCTTTGCAGGAAAGGAACTGTGTTTCAAGTCATACTATTACCCACCTCTTCACTATCTATTTCGTTCTGTGTAACAGCAAAAAAATGAGATGTAGCCCATTGTCTCTTCATTTTGGCCCTGCCTATCTCAAAAAGGAAGATTACCCACAAAATTTAATGACGAAGATAAACTGATTCAAAGTAACCCAGGTGTATACAGAACAACTGAGAGCCATTTAAAGATCTTTTCTTCCTTGCCCAACTATGTTTTAAACTTTCAGTGAATTTTTTATAAGGAACTTTGGAATACTTGAGAAAAAATATTAGTCCATTTCAAACAATGAAAAATAGTATTTTAAATTGAGAGTATCAATTTGGAACTCATGCCTTCTACCACAGTCCACTTGTGTGACTCAGTTTACTGACACTGAAACCTACAAAGCCACCTGTGTTAGAGAAAGAAGGTAGCAGATATAAAATAAGGTCGTACACACTAATCTTTTCATCTTCGAAGTTTCAGAATAATCTAGTAAGGGGAAATTAGTGTATTTTCAAGGAAACTGATATAATAAAACTATGGAAAACTCATTACATATTTGAATAAAATAACATTTTAAAATTTTATTTTAAATTTTATATTTCTCTGTCCTCTTATATTTCTGCTGTCAACTTCTTGAAGTAGTGTTATGATAATAAAAATTCCAAATTCCAAGCTGTACTTACCAGGCCCATCAAAAGGCACAAGGTGATGAGGGACTTTATCTGAGGAACCTAAAGGGATGAGGTACAAATCTTTCACTTGCTTCATATTATTGGCTGCTACACCGTAACGTTTTCTACTGCTGAAATAGGCGAACAACAGTGCATAGGAGATCTGATCCTCTTCAGTTACTGGGGTAAAGCGAACCACACAGATCTCCTGTTTACAAGAAGAGGGAAAATATGGTCAAGAATATTTTTCTGTGATATGTTATTTTTTTTACTGACTGCTCTTTAGTTAAAAGAACAGTGCTGAGGAGAAAAACCTACACCACAGTGGCAGAGAACAGAAGAGACAGAAGGAGCAGAAACATGGCCAAAAATAAATCAGAACTAGATAAAACAAATAGAAAGCATTTAGTATGAAAAGAATAATTGAAGTGCATGACAAAAAAGCCAGTATTTTAACAGCCAGTTAAATAACAAGTTTTAGAGAAGCTTGCCAGCTTCCAATCAATTATTCCACTCCCTACCCTTAACATCACTAGAAAACTGTATTTTGTAGTCTGTTGTGCCCAAAATATCCATTAATAATCGTGAAGACCAGTATTCAGATGCCAGAATTATGCCCAAAGCCCAGCTCAGGAGCTGATGCTGGAGCTGACGTTGTTTAATGGCTTAATGAACAGCCTGGAAGATTGGACAGAAGATCCTCTGCAAAACTGAGATGGCACCTAAACAGGGGCAGTGGTGGACATGCTGAAGCGTTGGTGGCCATTCAGAGGGACCTCAGCAGGCTGAAATAACAGGCTGACCTTTGTCGATGCAAAATCTTGCCCTTTGAGCTGGAGTAACCCAGCACCAGGGTGGCTGGGGGACTGACTGGCTGGAAAACAGCCTGGCATAAAATGATGTGGGGATCCTGGTGGACAAGCCCAGCATGAACTGGTGATGCATCCATGCCAAGAAGGCCAACTGCAATCCGGATGTTAGAATCAAAGCAGTCAGCACATCAAGGGAAATGGCTATTTCTTTCTATCCAGCACTTGTGAGACACCACCTGGAAAAGACTTTCAAGTTTTGGGCTCCCCAGAACAAGGACAAGTGGCACTCAGTGGGACAAATCCAGCAAAGAGTCACTGAGATGGTTTTGCCCAATGTAACACTACTGAAAGTGTAACACTTGAGAGGGGTACATTTGAGTGGTATCCAAACATTCTTGATGAGTTACTGTGTCAAAGAAAGACAGGTATTCTCAAACAGCAGATGACAGTTTAAGGTTAGGTAGGAAAAAAATAAATGCCACCAGTTTCCACCCATCCCATTCAATATAACCATGAGATATTCCTAAAGTTCATAAATTTTGCAAATGTTTCAGAGAGAAAAAAAACTAGTATCTTTAGGATGACTAAGATGCATATTAAACAGCAAGTCTTTACTAGGTAGAGTTCTTACCTTGGTCCCTGAAGCTTTGATTTTTTCTACATAA